AACATAAAGAACCAATATTAAAATACAAAACATATAATCTGTAGCATCTCATCTCTATTTTTCCGCGAAATAAATGTGATCGAATACAAGCATGAGTACGCTCGAACGCTTGATGCTCAAATCGCTACCGCTCCCGCGCCCGCTAGTTTACGTGGACATGACCTTATAATTTCAATGTCACCCTATCGTACATGTTAACACCAAGTTATTGTTCACACGTGAATTGAAAATCTGTACTTGCTGTATTGGAAAATGTTTTGAATGCACATCACTAGAAGCCGCGCCGCGCCGCCCACGTAGCAAGGATTAATTAATTCATTATCTACTGAAAGGCCTAAGTCCAGCCGTGATCAGACCAACAACGATTATTACGATGATTATGATGGTGATAATGATGTGATGATGATGATGATGATGATGGTGATGATAATGATACTAGAAAAAAGTTGAAAAAAAGTTTAATGTAATTAAACATGTCAGTCAAAATATCGTACTAATAATCTTGAAAATACTATGCGAATGTTTAAGTAATATTTATACAGGTTGAAAAATTCTGTACTTATCAATTTCTGAAAATTAGTTAAGTTATGAAGTTGGTGTACTACAGACTACACCGGAAAGTGAAAAAGTTTTCTTCATCTTCGATACGCCGTAACTTGAATTAAGTTAAATTAAATATTTTACAGTTATCTACTCCTAAGTAGTTACACAGTGTACGAGTATATGCAAACTTATTTATAACAATGTTTACTTGTAAGCTCAAGTCCACCATCATCACCACCATCACCTCCATCGCGCCTTTATTTTTTTTAAAAGTAGTAACTACCTACATGATACAAAACGTATTGAAAAAAAAAAGATAATAAATTCAGGTAAACGGCCAGGCAACGCGTTACCCGCTGTATTTTGTCTCGCCGGGCACGCAATAAATTGAATTCTCTCTCCTTTTCGCTCTTCGTAGATCCTGACCTTACATCATGACCTTTTATTGGTAGAGTCCGAGATATAACCAATGTGTAAAAGTATTGGAAGACCGGGATGTGAAACTTGAAAGAATTTTCATAATATATACTTTAGTATAATAAACTAATATTTTATTTAGTAATACAAGAATATTGGATATACAATTAACATTTACAGAAATACTCGTATATTTATTTAGTTTACGTTGATTAATAAATGATTCATAAACTTTTCTGTGTTAATTTTTACATGAGATTAAGATTCATTTTTAATTTAAATTAATAAAGTGTGTTGTAGGTAGAGGTAGACCTAGAAAGAGATGGATGGATTGTGTTAAAGGTGACATGATCAAAAAGGGAGTGATGACTGAGATGACGTATGATAGTGTTATGTGGTGGACAAAAAACCGTTGCGCCGACCCTACGGGAGTAGGATAAGGGGATGATGATGATGATGAAAGTATGTTGTTAATTTTCAACATAAAATTAGTAAGAAGAATATGTAAACAATTGAAGCAAAAAAGGTATGTAAATTCTCACAGTATTTAATATTATCTCGCTAGCATACAGGGCAATTAAATTGCTTCACGCCGCCGGAAGCAAGGTTCAGTGAAGAGCTCAAGTTTCCGCCGGATACTGCAACAAATAATGTTCGAGACAATCTTGTTTGATGTAAGTACATGCTATTTGGCTTTATTTTAATATGGATGGTTAACAAAATTGTTGTTTTAGTGGACACTAATTGTCCGATTAAAAGGGTAACCTTACGTGAGGACGTATTTAAGTGGGTTTGTACAAAAGTTATTGTGAACTCCTATCGCCTAAATTGCTTGACAATTTTGAAGCGATATTAATTCATTTTTTGAGTGATGGACAGTCAAGCAGATTTTTTACAGTATGTCGATGTTATTCGAATTTTAAAGAGATAATAAATCTGTGATTACATAATTATTCCCTTTAGTCCGCTGGGAACCTAAACGACTGAACAGATTAAAAAGTCGTCATTCTCTAAATAAAGTTATTTTTCAATATAATTAAAACTTTCAGTTGTATTGCTTCATGTGAGGAGATAATAAAATAGTATAATAGACATGAGTTTAAGTCGTTCCAGCTTGCCTATTTCAAAATCTCACAAAGGCTCTCTGAATCCGTAGAAATGTTGCAGTTGAAGGAACAAGAGTAAATCTCCTACGTCCCGGTCGCTCATATTAAGTTACTATTTCCCGCGGCTTCGCAACATATTGATTTGTAATTTCTGTACTGAAATTGCTTCTTCTTATTGAATGTAATAGAAAAATAATTTGAAATGTTATTTTTAAAATGTTATATTAAATTGTTAAGGTCATTTGCACTTTTTTAAACAAATATAAATAATGTGTTCACGTTTAAATTCAGGTGTTAACTTTAAAAATCTTACGTTATAAGTACTACAAGGCTTTAGAAAATATAAAAACATTTTCTTTGTAAGTGCAGGGGTTGAAGCTAAGCGGAGTTTGGACGAGAAAATGGCTCAACGCTTAATAGAAAATGCCAGTGTAGTCTGTTTACAAGATAGTTCGCGATGAGACCTGTCAGTATCAAACTTCGTAGCTCCCTTAGACCGCTCTCTAAAATTACGTGCACTTCCGGCTATCGCAAATTTAGACATCATGCTTCTTGCATGATAGGTACTGTCATACAAGTCAGTGTTTTCACAAGCCTGTTCCTACATGAAATTATGTCAGATACTTGCTTTTGTTTTCCAGCACTAATAATTTCATTTTCGTGGAATAATTAAAGCAAAGTATTTATAGGGTTAAAGCGCGCGCACACCTCACTAAACTATCGCGCAACTGTGCTATTGTCGATTGTTTCGCAGTTTATCAACTGTTTTGGCGCAACTAAAATTCGAACCTCCGTAATAGCACATAAGAATCAAAGTGAGAGTAAACATGTGTGCGATAGTTTAGTCAAATGTGTGAGTTTTTATAATGATAGGATGATTTAAATGCATTGTACAAGTAGGCTCCGAAGATTAGCGTTTAGCAACTTATTCTTTCCACTCAAACTTTCCATTCCACTCATTATTTTGATGTGCACGAGTGTGTGTAATAAATGCTCTTGCGAAATCCGCATAAAATTGTTATCCATTGTTATTTTTGGGAAAATATTTAAACCTGTGCATGACTGAATCGATATTTTTGCCGTCGGATATTGTTCGACTTTCATGTTACGTGCAGCCTCTAACCCCTGTTAAATTAATTCATAGATTATCTTGTGTTGATTAAATTATCAACATAGATAATTAAGTGTAACAGTACGAAGCGTCCGAAAATTAATTACAAAGTTAATATAATAGGTATAAATAGATGTTCATTAATTGGATTCTGTAATGAACGTAAAATTACATCTCAGAGTATCATATAGACTGATCGAATGGTCGACTTTGGATTATTAAATAATAATTATACATTTAGATTGGAAATGTCGATGTTTTAAATTAATCTGATTTATGACCGGTTTCCCAAATACTTTTAAGAATTCGCTAGTGTTTTTGGTTCTGTTACTTCATGATATGCGTTTCCGAACTACGTAACTTGAGTTACTCCTTCGAAACATGAGTAAACCGAATACTAATGAATCGCTAGGTAATTATAAAATAAATGGAAACTTCAGAAACCCAGCATAAAAAAAAATTTAAAATTTGCAAATAATCGTCAATTTTTTTTTATATTAAATGACTAGCTTTCGCCCGCGACTCTGTATGCGTTGAATTTTAAAAAAATCAAAAGTGAGTAGCCTATGAGTTCTTCCAGACTATCCTCTACATCTATACGAAATTTCATCGAGATCCGTTCAACCGTTTAGGCTACAAACTCTAACAATCATCTATTGATCCATCTAAACTTTCGCATTTATAATATTAGTGAGAAGGCATTTGAGAAAATTTAGCGTCACGACGTTTCTGGTCTCAATGCGTCAACCGATTTTTATGATTTTAGTTGACTTTTTTTGTAAATTATATTTCATATTGTTAGCTGGTTAGGGTTTCTAAAGATGTAAATAAAAAAACAAACATGTTTTTCGTTTTAATGAAACTTTTTGCTTGCAGTTCTTATAATGTTATTTAGAATTTTGCAATTAAGAACTACTTTAATGTTTTTTTTTTTTTAATTTATGTTTCAAGTCCTATTTAAATTATTTTACTGATAGTCAGATCTAAACTAATTTAGGGGTTCAAGTCGATTTTTTTCTAAATTGTGTCGTTAAATTTATATTAAAAAATCGAGTTTTAATATCCTGGCTTTGTTTCTTTTTTTATTGTTTTTTATCTGATACGATCTCTAAAAGAATATGATTAAAACATCTCGAAAGAATTATTGTACTTCTCAAATAAGCACTTGTCTGTTTGAAGAAAACAAACAAAAATTAAATAATGCATTTTATACATAATATAGTTATCACATATTTCAGAATGATATGACTTATATTTATTTATACAAACTATTCTATTATTTAAATGACTAATTCTCTACAATTGACTAAAACATTAACTAGAATATCTACAGAATTATATGATTACATTTTTCTCGCAGGACTTTTTAGTCCACTCTTAGAGAATTTAAATAGGTATCACCTTCGAAAAAGATCTACCATCTATCTACTTAAAGACGGAAATAGGCTGGAAAAAGATTTTAAATCTCAGCCATAGTAGTAAACGAACTATTTACAAGTTAGACCTTTCGTACACAAGGCAACATAAATCTTCAAAAAGAGACTTTAGTGCTAATGTAATAGGGTAGAGTTTCGTGCACAGGTAAGCGCCGCTGCAAAGATCGTCGGTATAAAAGTTGCCACCGTTGACCGAATAGAAAGCTCGCGGTAACGACTCGCGACGTAAGTATACATTAATAATATCGAAGATTTACGTTTCCTTGCCTACGAAGAGACAGTACACTTCAATTTAAATTGCGCGGCGATTTTTGTCCAATTATTAAAATTTAATTTGTTTCATCTTTAACCAATCTCCATAAATTAATTGTATCTTTAAGTGCAAACCGTATTATAAATATATCAGTCCTTGATAATTGCAGCGAAAAAAATATCTAAGGTTAACTGTACACGGACAGATTGAAACAGCCGCTGTCGTCTACTCAAACACACCCGTGTACAGTCTTAATGAAATTTAATCGTTAACAGAAATCGATACCTTTATCAATAATGATACCCATCTCTACTAGAATAGCGAAAGTTATAAAGATAACATAAAGTACAACTAAAACACCACCAACTCGTTTCCTTAATTGAAACTTCCCAATAAACAGAGTAACGTATAAAGCAGCAACCGCAACTAACAAAGAGCCCACAATAAATCCGATTCCAGCGGAGTTTATGTACACTGCAGAACTTTCCGCGCCTTGTCCCACTAATGTCAGGGTTCTGATGAGCCAAGGTACACCGAGAGCGAAGAGGATCGCTAAAGAATTAGCTCCCAACGCATTAGAGACACCTATACCGCCTTCACCTGAAAACAAAGATTACATGTAATTAAATAAATGTAGATCATCTGTTAACTACGCCGAGCTTTAAAACATTCTCGCTTACACAGCCAACATTTTATTAAAAATTAATATCTCAGTTTCTTTAATTAGGCCTGTTTCTATACAAGTTTAACGATAATGGAAACACATAATGATATCGGAGTACAACTTGTTAGTAAAGGGAAAGGCGTAAAATACTCAAAGTTACTTAACAAGGTTTTTTGGTAACACAATTGTTTCAGTGATGTATTTATTTGCTTTGTTTGATGTTTTGTTAATCTTGGCATTACCATGCAGAATTATGTTAAGAGTTCTATGAAAGAATCTAAAAGCCCTATCTATTGTTTTATAAAAAAATGTTTAATAATTAAAATAATGACTATATTTTATTAATTAAAATAAGAAACAGGTACGTAACATTTTCCGCATTAACTTTAATCAAATTGATTGCAACATGTACATGGCAATGATTAAATCAGCTTTTTTCTGTGTCCACAACTCCTATCAGAAGATTAAACGAACAATAATATTTCACGTAGTCGAAAACACAATCAATACTCCACTGGTCACACTAGATTGCCATCGATAAAATACATATTAAATGTCCGATAAACACGATTCGCTGTTGCCAGAGTTCTACATATGTTCGAATTTCAAGCACACTTCATATTCAATAACGCAGCTCGCTGTACGCTTTGTGAATGCAAACTCTATAATTCGCTATTTCGCAATATTACCTAATTATTACAGATGGGATTTGAAGTTGTTCGGAATCGCTTAATTGCAATCGTAGAACATTGTACACACAAAGGCTACAAAAGGAGATGAAGATAGAATATGCGTCAGGGAATCATAAATGTAGGAAATAGGATATTTGTAGCATATTTACGATGATAAATCTTACACACGTTAGGGTATAAAAGGACTCGAAGAAGTAAAAAGGAAAGTCAAGTTGTTATTTCAATTAAAACGTAGCATTAAGAAAAAAAGTAATAAAGATGTGGCGCCTTGGCCTAGACTAAGCAAATTAGTAACAATTCAGGAGTCTTGGAAAGGTAACATGATCATGCATGAAGTATTAGGTAGTACCTAGAAAGAAGATCTTTTTTTGATGTATTGGTAACGAAGGCTTACGTTATGAGTCAATAACATTTTTGGTACAACAAATGATATAATTAAACCTATGGTAAAAGTTGTATTTTCGTAATACGTACCTCTCCGCGACATAATAAATATAGAACAGGCCTCAGGCAGACAGCCTCCAAACGCCAAAAACGTCATTCCCATCACGGAGTCCGGTATGAAGAATGTGTGTCCTGAAATGTTGCAAATTTACTGTGAAGTAATTCGCTAGAGTTTAATAGAAGCACAAAATAAATAAGAATAATATTGTAAAGTAATTAAAGAAGAGAATAGTTTTCAAATAAAAAGATACATCAAAGTAAATGCAGAACATAATAATTTTGTAAAGCAAATCCAAAGTATACTGTATACTGAAAGTATTGAATTTATACATATCGTATACATATAAAGAAGTATAGGCGATTGTATATAAATAAGTTGGAATCCAGACAAGTAATCGAAATATCATAAGCCCTTTGGTATTAAATGATTATAGATTGTAACGAATAAGTTTTTATCAAAATCAGTAATGACTAATGATTTATTTAATCATTTAAATATATTTGAGTGATTAACATTTTTATCGCATATTTAATACACAATTATGTCGTAAACATTACCTGTCAGTGCCTATAATTATCTATTTAATAATGAATAGAATTATTATATCACAAGCAAAAAATGAATAATTTTCAACTCTGAAGATTAATAAAGTACCATTCAAACTTTATAGCTCTATGTACGGGCTTAGATGGAACGCAATTGAAAATATCGGCGTAGTACGTGTAAGCTACACCCCCGCGAGCAATGTCCACCCGACGTGGACCAACCTGCCTCCCACCTCGAACCCCCATAACATTTGAATGTTACAAGACTTTACAGTTATATTGCATTACTCGTGTACTTTAAAGTAGTATTCAGATTAACACATGATATAAAAAAAATAACAAAATACTAAATTTAACAGAAGAACGATGATTTTTTACTTACCAATAACGGTCATACTCCATGAAACGAAGTAAGAATTAACACCAATCCAAACAATACACATAATAAACGACAGCGGATAAAGTTTCCTGTATCTTGCGGGCAAAGGTATTGTAAAAGTTAGTATTAACTTGAGTGGCCAAGTGTACACCCACCAAATTCTGTACGCTAAAGAATTTTCTCTTGGATAACGCCATACACTTTTATTAGGCTTTTCCAGCTCTTCCGCTGAAACAAATGAAATAACATTTTAAACTCAAAATAATCTTTATCATCATCATCACCAGCTCACTATACGTCCCCACCGAGGGGCTCGGAGCCTACCCTAATACGGGGTGACTAGGCCATAGTCAACCACGCTGGCCAAGTGCGGGTTGGTCGACTTCACACATATCTTTGAATTTCTTCGCCGATATGTGCAGGTTGCATCACGATGTTTTCCTTCACCGTAAGAACGTCGGGTAAATTATGTACATATGAAAATTCGAAAAATCGAAAATCACATTGGTACACGGCGGCGGGATTCGAACCCAAGACCTGTGGATTACAAGTCAAGTGTTCAAACCACTGAGCCACCGACGCTCAATAATAATCTATATACATAGGAGTAAAAGGTTAGCATGGTATGATCATGTTATGAGGGATAAATCGCATGTAGCAAGGAGAACGTTAGTTATGAGTGTGCAAGGGTACACCGGTAGAGCTAGACCTAGAAAGAGTTGGATGGATTGCGTGAAAGTTGACATGACCAAAAAGGGAGTGATGACTGAGATAACGTATGATAGAGTTATTTGGAGGACAAAAACTTGTTGTGCCGACCTTACGGGTGCAGGGTAAGGAGGATGATGATGACTCAAAACAATCTATCATAACGGTATTGGATATCTGCATGAAATTTATTAATTACCGATTTCCGAGTTGTAACATTGATATGAAATTATCAGATCATTCATAATTTAATCATTATCACCAACCTATTTCATTCCATTGCTTGATGAAAACTTTTCAGATTCAGAAACCGGGCTAACATCTATCTTACCTTTCTCATTTACAGCAACCTTTTCGGGAATATTGTTAATCACTATCTCGCCGTTATTGAAGCCTTTGTTATCAATGCCCTCTGTGGTCTTGTTGTCATTCGTCACAATATCTAGAAAACAAAGCAAATACATTTGTGCGATTGCTTTGGCAAACATTAAAGAACACAAACATAACTGTTTTAATACTTAAAACTTACGTTGATTATTGTTCCGCGATCTGCTTTCCATAATAGAATCGTATAAAGCGAATATTCTGACACTGTTAAACATCACAACGAAGTATGTGACGTACAGAATGCCGAGCACTAACGCTTCATACCACTCGATCCGACCGTCCCAAACAATAATGACCAAAGCGACAACGTTGAACATGTAAATGATGACATCTCTTGTAACTGGACGACGGTCTATTGTAATTGGCTGAAATGAAAAAGATGTAATTACCAACAGGTATCAATATATTAAACAAAACACATTGAATGATTAAACAGGATTAAGAAGACCTAACATTAACATCCATCCAATCAAACTTTCGTATTTATAATGTTAAAAAGATCTGTATTAGTTTTTTATTACGTTGCTTTTTTAAAATAAAGATACAAATATAGAAAACATCACAATGATGTACTTACTATTCGAATTCGAATATAATCGGATTTGCTATTTCAATATAGTAACCGTAGACTTAAGCCCACATTCAAAATGTAATACTCGGACGCGAATGGATGTTTTGATGAAAACAGATTTATAATTAAAATTTTCAATACATAGGGGAAAAAGTGGAGAAGGGTTTCAGACTGGGGGCCATGGAATGGGAAAATGTGTAGGGCATGCTCACTTCAAGTGAATCGACGAATTAATATGTACGGCGGAGGATAGCATATTGTATAAGATATTTGTTTGAGACCTATGTCCAGCAAGTTTAAAGTCTAACAATGATGAAACAAACAGACATATGGTAACAAAAATATTCATTAGCCATTTTCAAATTTAAATTTGAATCTCGTTTATATGACAAGATTGGGCACAACAAAGTGGAGTACGTGGGCAAATTTCTTTATCCGTCTTCCAATGTTTCAATCTTGTCCGTCTTTATACTTTCAAATTGGTTGACTCCGCAATAATATTAGCCGAATCACTAATTATCCCTTCGCTCAACTCATTAACACGAGGACATAAAAGAAATAGCTAAGTTATCCTTCCGCGATAATTCTGATATGTGGTCAAATTTAAATCGTCTGCTCCCTAAATTTTCTCATAAAGAAAGGATTTAATTGGGGAGTTCGTTTAGCCCGTATAAGGCATCACTTCTTAACATAGTAGTATAATAATTGTTTACACTTATAGCAGCAAGACCTCCAATAGCAGCAACACCTAACGCGTTGAAGATCGCCGAGCCCACGATTGTACCGACACCCATGTCAGACTCCGTAAGAAATGTGGATATCACGTTAACGAAGAACTCGGGACACGATGTTGCTACCGACATAAAGGTAGCCGCCGCAACGTTCTGTGACAAAAATATAGATAATTAAAACAAAAGTGAATTCAAAAGTACAGAAAAAAAACATTGCACATTATAAAACACAAAAGTATAAGTGGCTATGAATTTTATCGACAAAATACAAGCCTATTTTAATATCACTTCATTTAAAATTGTTATTGAATCCGAAATCCCAATTTTCAATAAAATTATAGTTTACAGAAGCACTTACAGGAATAACTCATTATATGAAAACAACAACAAATATGATATGATCACTTTGACTAAAGAGAAAAGGACTAGGCACAGCGCCGCCATATTTAATAAATTTAGTCATATTTTAAGACTAGTAAAGTAAAGTTGATAATGACACTTAAAATTGAAGCAAATGAGCAAGCAATTTTAAAATCTGTTATTCGTTTTTATTTGACAGATAGTAATGAGCACGATTCACAGGTTCTGTCTATTAAAATTTCAGGTAAAATAGCGATGAGATATTTCATCGTTATTTTACTTGAAAAGTTCTCTGAATATAAACTCTATTTGCTCTCTTGGAAAAATGAGTTGTTGCATATTTATGCAATATTCCGTGAACAGATTTACAAGTCCTTTTAATTTAACAAAACTAAATTTTTCTATAACATTAAATTATTGATTTGGGTACTGATAAAAGTTATACTCGTAAGAGTTAACGCGTAAAGAAAGTCGTTTGAGAAATACCCTTCATACATGATATGTGGATATCTAAAAAGTCTGATCATCATCATCAACTTGCCCTTATCCCTTATGGAGGGTCGGCACAGTATGTGCTGCTCTTCCATACATCTCTATCAGCCGTCATATCTGAATCCACTCCTTTCTTAGGCATATCCTCTTTCACACAATCCATCCATACTTTCTTCGGTCTTCCTCTTCCTTCGTAGCCATCTACATTCATTCATAACACTTTCTGGTTAATGTCTTCAGCGTCTGGTCGCATAACATGTCCATATCGCGCTAACCTTTGCTTCTCAATTTATCCACCACTGGCGCTACTTTCAAACTTCCTCTAATATAAAAAAAAACTCGGGTAATTCAAAAGATAAGTTTAAAAATCACAAACCTGAGGTATTTTCAAATCCTCGCATATAAATTCGACGCATGGAATGAAATAATCGTTGCAAACAATCGTCAAAAGTGTAAACGCGTACACTCCGAATAAAACGTACAGCAAAAATGCTCCTTTTCTCAGTTGATCATCTGAAAACGGGAAACGTTTTAAGCCCTTTGATAAATCCGAGTGAGAAACTTTTCTACAAATGGACGCACGAGAAAGAGCGGATTATGTTTTAACAAATAAGATAGTCTGTTCATATGTCGCAGTGTCGCCTCTGAATGGATTTTCAGAACAAAGGTCTCAAAGTTACAACTGTCGACTGCTAACTTTTAGATTTTACAACAATTTTGCAGATTTTTTTAATAAACTGACATTCCTAACAAATTTAAAATGAATCATTTAATTTGTATCAGACTATTGTATTTAAAATTGCATAACTGTAATTAAAAAAATAATAATTACATTTGCATTATTTGCATATTCAAGACTCACCTGTAAATGCGTCATCAGGAAAACTGTCTATCGAATCACCACCGATGCAATCTATCTCCCGCACAATATTCTCTGCCACTTCGGTCCTCGTCCGCAGCCACGGCGTCCAATGCCACGTCTCCCATTCATCTTCGAGTTTCCTCATCAGTTCCTCGGTAATGTACACAGTTTCACCATTATTGTTGACTATCGGCACGTAAACATCACTGGTCGAATCTGTGTATTTATAGACCTTGATTAGTACACTGTAAACTGTGCCTTATAATGTTTAACTTAAAGTTTAATTTTGTTATTGCACGAAAGTATTAAATTAAATAATTTTTACACGTCAAAAATTAGATCGAGTATAAATTAAAAAAGTAATTTGTCGACTTGATTTTCTGACGATGTGTGACGTTGGTATTTAACGCGCTTTTAATAACTTCTGCGGTTTGTTACGTATCTAGCGACAGTGACAAAATTATTGAACATATTGCCTTTTCACACGAGGGCAGAATACGAGACAGAACAGGATAATAACGCAGTACTACAATAGTAGTATACTGTCGTTTCCAGACAATCAAAACAATAGTTTGGAAAAGACAGTATGGTTTTAAAAATAAATACACGTTCAAGGACTGTACTACTCTGTTCAGTTTAGGTGTTTGCATTTTGTTAATTGCAGTACTAATTGTCTACTATCTATGTCACTGTTCCGCCCTCGTGTGAAACAGGGATAAATCAGTAATCTAGATCGTCCGCTTCTTGTCGGTACATCGATTTTTGGAACGTTTTGTAAACATAGCATGGTTATTTGCGATAACGTTATAGATTTTTTTTCCTTTTGTCACGAACGTGACGCGTTGGGTTAATAAATATTGATCATGATGTTCTTATTCTTTACACAAAAAAATAAGAAGATAGATGCATTTTTGTCGTGTGTATCTTTTCACTGTTGACGTATAGAAGATGATAAGAATGTCTGTTTTTTTTTAATTAAAAAAATCGTATTAGAATCCTTCATCTTATCATTATTAGAGGAAGTTTGAGAGTAGCCCCAGTGGTTGATAAAATAAGGAGTAAAAGGTTAGAGTGGTATGGGCATGTTATGAAAAGGGATGAATCGCATGTAACAAGAAGGATGTTAGTTATGAATGTGGAGGGGTACATCGGTAGAGGTAGACCTAGAAAGAGATCGATGGATTGCGTGAAAGGTGACATGATCAAGAAGGGAGTGATGACTGAGATGACGGATGATAGAATGCTTTGGAGTACGAAAACCCGGTGCGCCGACCCTACGGGAGTAGGATAAGGCAGGAGAGATGATAATTAGAATCCTTCATCTATCAACATAATACGAGTACATACCATAGGGTTATAAAACTAATGTACAGCACACACTTTTTATTATAATTTTTAATACACATCTAAATTATGTATTAATAATTTGTTTATCATCGATGTCCTAACATTATATTCTTAAGCGTTTCCGCCTTAAATAATCACTGATAACGCAATGTACTTTTGTCGATATAAATAAAATACACTTTTGCGATAAGTGTTTTGTCTAAGTTTACGCGTAATACTAATATCTTACATACAGATTGGGTCTATTATGTACTCAACATTTAATTTGTTACTCTAATTACATATGTAATTAGCTGTTCGCACGCGGCTTCATCCTCATGACATAAAATAATCTGTTTTATTGTTGCAAACGTCAAAACTCAAATAACAAAGAAACCAATACCCAGTATTGAAAAATGTAGCCTTAAGAATATCGTAAGCATATTTGATGAAAAAAAGCATTATTCAAAAATATGCTTTAATTGCTGACATCGTATATAACAAAGAAGTATATTTAGGTTTTTATTTCATAAACAAATTATACTATCATACTTCATACTAATATTATAAATGCGAAAGTTTAGATGGATGGATGAATGAATGGATGGATGGATGGATGTTTGTTAGAGTTTGTAGCCTAAACGGCTGAACGGATTTCAATGAAATTTGGTACAGATGTAGATGATAGTCTGGAAGAACACATAGACTACTCACTTTTATTTTTTTTAATTCCACGCGGATGAAGTCGCGCGCGAATGCTAGTAATGTATATTAATGAAAGTATAGATAAATAGTACCTCTATACATATCTTATACTTACTGAAGTCCTCTAATGCAGTACCACTGGCTGCGACACACACAATTAGAATAAAAAGAGACGCCACCGAGTACATTTTAAAGTTTATCCGATGTTGTCCCTTCCGCTTTTATCTGCAACAAAGATATTGAAATTTGTTGGTAACACAATTCGACGAAAGGTATTACAAAAACCCGTTTTGTACATTTTTTCAAACAGTTCATAATGTATCCCTAATTGGCAATTTTTTAACGCAATCCAGTTTTATACAGGTTGTTTAAATTTACGTTCTCGTTTAAATTATTTTTAATAATTCATTTCCTATGGCAATTTTGAGTTGTGAATTAAATACGCTTTTCTGTCTAATATCTTGTTTAAAACAATTACATAAAACTTTTAAGTAAAGTTAAAAGCAAAGTAATTGTAATAAAACATTAGTATGAAAAACAATACCAATAGTAAGGGAGTCGGAGCAAGGATTTACTCGAATCGCGTACAGTCAAACGAAACGGGGCAATGTTACAGCCAGTGAAGTACACTCGCTGCAAATAGAACTCGTGTAGCAAACAAATTGCTCTTTTACAGATTTACGTATGGCATTTAATTGGAATCATGGGTCCTGCCCTTGCTACTGCTACGCTCGACTTAGTCCTAAAATCTCTACTTCGCCTCTCTTATTACAACATTTAAATACTTTACGGACTGTAAAACGGGAAATGTGAATTTCTCAGCTTATTCTACTTGCATCCGAGTCAAAGCTTAGTTCACAAACGCAGTCGAATAGTTGGGAGTTACTTATTACTCCTGCAAATACTGCGAATTCCAAATGATCGCCTTATCTTCCAAATAGAACTGTACTCGTATATATAATGTGGAAATATCTAATTGGCCGTTATTCCACAGATTCATCGGAAATATTCCTTTACTTAATATTATTTGTTATATTGTTACTAGCTTTCGCCCGCGACTACGTCCGCGTGGTAATAAAAAAAAACTAAGTAGCCTATGTGTTCTTCCAGACTACCCATTACATGTATGCCAAATTTCATTAAGATCTGTTCAGTAGTTTAGTCTACTAACTCTAACAAACATCAATCCATTCATCCATCCATCCATCCATTCATCCATCCATCTAAACTTTCATATTTATAGTATTAGTATTAGCATGATTAAATAAATCTTATTTTATGAAATTCAAACAGCTTTCGATCTCTGCAGCGTATTGACTATTGTCAATATTATCGGAATAATTAAACGAAATAACTCTGTAAGGCGTCGACCTTACAAAAGGTTGTCCCATCCTTTACCAACAGTTCTTATCATCTTTAATGCAAAGTATCAGATTGAATTAATATCACTGGAATGCATTTATGATAAAGAATAATCCATAGCAACAATTTATGAGCTACGCAAAATTTTTACGATATGACTGCTGATTATACTTTAGATAATAATAGACAAGAAAGACAAAGAAATTAGTATTAATATCTAAATCTTTTTAAGTAAATAATCCATAGGTGCATTATTAACATAAACTAAAATAACATAAACTTGCCCTTGTTCCTACGAATTAGGCATAATGCTGCTTCCATGGATATATTAGCCGTCGTATCTGAATTCACTACCTTCTTAAACATATTTTCATACAATACGTGCAATGTATTTATTCATTTGGATTAACGAGAAAATGTATTACAAGTTTCAAAATTAACGGCGACTTGTAAAATGCGAGTTCATTTTTTCGCAGAAAGGTCGTAGTTCGCCAGTGGGCAGCTGCGAGTGGTGGACAGGCGGGGTGGATCCCCCATGGGGGTTTTCGTGCCGCCTGTTCCTAGAATTGTGTTCGGCGCAACAGCGTCTCGAAATAAAATCGCGTTTTAAAATTTCGAACTGAACTACGTGATGAGCAAATAAACGGTTAGATGCTAGTAACACGGTAATCAATTAAAAGATTTTCAAACACATATTTCCAATTCCGCGTAATTCATACTTTCATTTTACGTAACGGAATATTTTTTTATCTTTCGTACAGAAAGGAATAAGTGAAGATATGAAAAACATCCTCATAAAATCACCAATTATTTTCCTCTCCATGGCAACATTTATACGATTTTTTTTCTGCTTTGCTTTTCTGCTTTGTGTAAATTTTTATGAGGGAAAAAATATCTAAGCCTTCGGTAATGACTTTCTTTATTGAGGTCAATTAAATGTACCAGACTATTTATACTTATTTCAATTATCGTAATTTGAGATGGTAATACTTACAATTATAATATTTTTACATAATGTTTTCAATTCTTTTAATCAAAGTACGTCTCAAAGATCGAATTAATTAGAAACGATAATTTTTCTTAAATGTAATTAACATATTTTCATAAGATATAATTATGCTGACTTCATTATAAAAGTATTTAAAAAAATGTCTTATTAGTAGTTAGTAAGGAAAACCATTGGTATGTCAACATATTAAATTAATTGAACTGCAATATTTATGTTTAATTAGAGATTGCGTATACACATTCAAAGAGGTAATTGTAATAATCATCTCGGAACACAATCATGTGCGAATGATTTCGTTTGTAATTAATATCACAAATGTTTACTGAAGGATTGCTGCGGACAAGCAGAGATTTATCTTAAGTGTAACACAAACATATTTGTATAACAACAATATCCTTCAATAAATCAATAACGAGACAAATAAAAATGTTCACAATATGGAGTGTATTAATATCAAAATTTGATAACCTATTTATATAAAATGGCTATAATAATAGAGCTATGCATTATCGATAGAATACGCTCAGCAATCACATCACTAATACTTACAGTAAACACCTTCGGGACTAAATCCAGATCGCCTGTACACAAAATACTAATTAAACATTATCGATGTTTACAGTAAAATTGAATAGCTGTCAGCGTTCTGCACGGATTTCATAGTCAACACTGAAATAAAGATACGAACGCCAGGGTTTTTAAATGATAATCTTAATTGATAACGCTCCTTCGTAATGATTAGTGGTTACAATTATTATTCTCGTACTTGTGTTTACTATTTGTCGATTTCGTGATTTATAATTATCTTTCGCTTTGATTTTTCACGCCCTATTTTTAGTGTTGAATTTTTAATGTTCCCCGAAAATACTAATAATAATAATAATAAGGATTTGGCTCACGAGATTACCGCCATGTGGCGTATGAAATCGACTACCATTATTCCGATAGTCGTTTCGGCACACGGGCTGATAGCGAAGACCTTCAACCAACACCTCAAGAAGCTCTCGCTACACAGTTGGATTAAGGGCCCGATTCAAAAGGCGGTTATTTTAGAAACCGCACGACTAGTGAGGAGGTTCCTGTCTCTGCAGCCCTGACCACTGGTTGCTTGAGTCATCGGATTCCGCAGCCGGTGGACTTCTATTTTTCTATATAAAATGTTTTATTTTGTTTTTTTTTTAAGAAAATCATGTGAAATATGTTATATATAAAAATAAGAAAATAAAGATATGAGAATAATAATAATAATAAATATGCTCTTGTGGAATCTAAGGTACCATATTACCAATATCAACCTTCACCAGTTCTAGAAAATAGCCGTATCACGCTCTACTGGGATCAATCTATTATTACGGACAGGACTATTGCTGCCAATAGGCCTGATATAGTAATAATAGATCGGTCTGAGAGTTGTGTAATGTTAGTCGATATCACTATCCCACATGACGAGATTCTCGTGAAAACCGAAAATGAAGAATTATTAAAATATTTGGATTTGGCTGACGAGATTACCGCCATGTGGCGTATGAAATCGATATTCGTTTCGGTGCACGGGCTTATAGCGAAAAGCTTCGACCGCCACCTCAAGAAACTCTCGCTAGACAGTTGGATTAAGGGCCCGATTCAAAAGGCGGTTATTTTAGAAACCACTAGTATTGTGAGGAGGTTCCTATCTCTGCATCCCTGACCACTGGTTGCTTGAGGCATCATTCCGCAGCTCTTGGCATTCTATCTTTTTATAAAATCTGTTTTTTTTTTATAATAAATCATTTAAAATACATAAAAATAAGATATAAAGATATATGAAGAATAAAAGCAAACTATAGGTAAATTAACGGTCTTAAGTTTTTCTTTAGAATTAAGTATTAAGATTTATTTAAATTATACCATACAAAAATAATGTAAAAAAAAACCTCCTTCTATTTAACGTCGGGCCTAGACCTAGTGATAGTTATAAAACAGTAAAAAGTTTTGTCTGCCCTTCCGCAACTCCGCACCTCTATTACGGATAATCCCCAAAAACGCTCGATCGATTTTGTCTGAACTTTTCATGGACGGTAGCGGATATATGCGGGAGTAAAATCAGCTATTTAAATTTTAATTTCGCTGTGGCGAACTCGTGTAGTGTAAATAAATATTGTGTTAATATACTTTGAAGCCATATATCCGCCGCATTGCAATGTTTATTCCTGTCAAAAGAGTGATTGTGTACCAAAAAACCAATATTGTCGGAGAGAGGACATATATTTGATTTGTACGCAATAGTTCCTGAAATTACTTTTGACAAAATTTTAGCGTGGTCGCAGTTAAAATACATTCGGAATCTATTTTAAAAATATAAAAGGATTGCGAAATGGTGACACATTCGTTTTTGTTTACATTCATTCGCTTTACAATAGCAGTGCAATATAAACCGCGTATGGAACAATGTAGATGTCATCTAATAAATACGGATTGGTTTTTGATAAAACATTTTTTTGTAGAAGAATTGTTTACCAATAGCCAGTATTCAACTTGAACAAATAACTATAGAAACTAATTTAAGGTATCGTAAGTTATATTAAACTAGCTTTCACCCATGACTCCGTCCGCGTGGAATTAAGAAAAAAACAAAATTTTGTAGCTTGTGTTCTTCCAGACAATCCTCTACATATGTACCAAATTTCATCGAAATCCGTCCAACCGTTTACGCTACAAACTCTAACTTTTGCATTTGTAATATTAGTATGAAGAATGTCGGAACAAGGGAAATAGAGAATTATTTCTTTTTTAAATAACGAATTTCAATTTTACTATTCCTAATAATGTTCAAGTAGTTTGCACTTTTTTTTCTTCTTCATACAAGTATTTATATGTATTATAATGAACTTCCAACTAATAAGCACATCACAAACAATAAGAGTAACCATTTATTTCTCTCATTATTTGTTTTCCTCACAGCAACAGCTTGTTAAGATTTAAAAAAAATGTTAATAAAAAAAAACATCGAAGATACATACTATTTAAATATTTCCGTGACCTTGTAAATTTTAATTGTCCCCATAAATGGTGCATAGAATGTTTTATAATTTACCTACAATCTTACTAACAACTGCACTAATAATATGGCTTAAGTAGTTTTGTATGCGGAAATGCAACCATCACCTTAAATAACTGTCAGGCGAAATTATCAGCTATTTTAAAGTGGCATATATTTACGGTAAGAAAACATTTTATGCCACTCGTAGTTCCTCGGTAGAAACCCATTAGAATTGCAATGCGACACATACTTCTGGCCCGGTGAAAATCCCATCTTCCACTTCTATCAGAAACTATGTGAGACCTCCTAAGACATAGATAACATAACTAGATAGCTATAGATTGACACGTCAACTAAAATTATGACAAATACTAACGCAACTGTCAATATCAAAAAATACTATTGTTGTACTGTAGCAGTTTCGTATTTTATTCTTTTACTAGCTGTTCCCGCGTGCATCCGCATAAAGTTATGTAAATTTTATTTTATTGTTTACATGTGTCAAATTATCAATTGCAAATGTCAAAACATGACAAACCTTGGCAATCTTGCTTCCTTGATGTCGGCAGTAACTTATGATCTCTTTCCGACATTAGGGTCTTTAGTTTAGATGTAATACGAACTAAGTTTTACATTTTATGACGAAAGTAACCGCGTAAGAGGTGACTCTTGATTGTAATTTACCGTTACTTATGCTCACCGGGCCAGACAAGTTTGTCGATCTATAACGTTCGTTTTTCAAACTATTATACAACTTATAGTCCTGTCATTTTAATCCCTATCTGCAATTATTTTAACGTATTTTGCAAACAGACAAGATTATAGAAATTAAAACATAAGATAGATCGTACCTAAATTACTATTCTGTCAGATTAACGGTCCAGGTCAGATCTACAACTCTTGTTAATTCCGAGAAAAAACGAAATCCAGCCCAATTTAAATTTCCAGTATAAGTTGACCTCCGATTTTATGATAGGACATATGTCACAGGGTTCAGCTTAGCTGGGCATTTTCTGCAACACGATCAAACGTTGCGGGTAACAATCTCTAGTAAAAAAAAAATCTTATTTGAAGAAAAATGTTTTGTTAACTTACGTTCCTGTATCTATAGAACTGAACAATTAACCAATGTATTAAAGTATTAAACGATACGCACAAAATAAAAAAGTTATATGAATTACTTGTAATGTGTCACTAAAGTTTAAAATGTAACTTTGTCCGACTCGAAGGACCAGAATAACTATTACTTATTTATAAATCTACTGAATGTCAAAGAAATAGAATAAAAATACAGTCGACGTTGACGATAGCGGGTGCAATATGGTTAGGATGTTAAGTCAATTATCGGCGTAATATTTTTAACCTTGGCGTCAACGCCATATTTGCACCGCCAGTGTGAATTCGCCCGCAGCAGTTTTAGATACCCAATATTTGTTTATGGAGCTTCGGAAAATTGGACAAGATTACATGAACCCACACATAACATTAATGTTACAATTTTATGGTTTCATATAGCATTGATGTTAAATAAATTTCACACTTTTCTAAAGGGATTATCTGACTTTAATAAAAAAATGGCACTTTACTTTTTTTATCAGTATTACTTAAGATATAAATTGTGATAAATATAAAACCAAATATATACACATTTCCATAGGTATTAAAGGCCTATGTCGAACAGTGGACGGACAAAGGCTGATAATGATTATGACGATAATGACGACGATGATGATGATGATGATGATGATGACAATGATGATGATGACAATGATGATGATGATGATGATGATGATGATGCATTACTCGTGCGCAGAAGCATTGCCGATGATGTCATGACGTCACGCGTTAACTGACACTTTCCGACGGTTTCTATATATCCTACACGTATTTAATTTTAAACAAAATAATTATAATATTATGAGGATTAAACTGGGTTTCTGAAGTTTCCATTATTTCATGAAGTAATCGAATAAAAAACGTTTAACGTTGTTTCCTAACAACGTTGGTTTCCTAACGACCCATAAGAAGTTTGATTTCGTATATAAAGCTATTACGAATCTCTTATACGATCAAACCTTCCAACATTTATTTTTGGATTCCAGTTATTCCTTAGTAAAATGCATAGTTATTTTTATTTCATAATTGATACGTTTGAAAATAAATAAATCATTTTATAACATGATTTTATTTTTATCTAGAATGTAAAAATGAAAATGCCTGTTTTTTCTTCGATTGACTTTAATTCAATTAAAAATGTAAACTACACACATTGTTATTTTATTCCTCAATGCTAAAGTGTAACTTCATTATAAGCACTCGTGCAACAGACATCTTAAGAAACTTCTATCAACTTCCAAACTACAAACATTCTAAACTTTTAACAAACGTGCAATGTAGAAGAGACGACTTTTAACAGGGTGATTTCCAAGTAAATCCTGCACTAGTCAAATGTAGAGACTTTATTAAAGGTTACATTACTGAAACACTCTTATAAAAAAACATAGTTTTTTTTTTGTAACATAAGGTGGCAAACGAGCAAGCGGCCACCCGAATCCGCCAAAATGGCGAAGCGACCGCTGCCCATAGACATCAGCAATTGCAGATGCGTTGCCTACCCTTATCCGACGGAGGAGGAGACGCACATAAAGAGGATATTTCCCCTTCCTATGCATTTCCTCCACTGTCAAATCCACTTCCCCTTCCCATCCTCCCCTTATGAGAAAAGGGTGGTAAGGAGTAAGGGACTTAAATTAGGCCTCCGGCACCACACCCATCAGACGAAACACGGAATTACTTCCACTTCACGCCTGTCTTCTGTGTGGTCGTGGTATTACTGGGGGCGTGCCGGCCCATTCGTGCTAAGATGTTAAAGCGGGCACTACCACTGTAGAAAAGTTTGTCAGTGTAGAAAAGTTATCTCATCTATCATAATAATAGTGATAAGGATAACAATATGCCCAGGTGTTGTGGCAAACTCAATGTTTTTCCGCCTTCTGTACGTCTTTCAGCCACTTGTATATTTCTTTGTTATTTTTATTTGCGGTGATTTTCTTGTTGGTCTCTGCCACTTGTATAATGTTACCCTTGTCCTGTGTAAAATTGTGTCTATAGCTATCGCTGTCTGGGGCCACCCGATTCGATGAGTTGAAGAACACACGAAATGTAAAAAACATTATGAAATCAAAGCCGGATACTAGAGTGAACCCAAGCATCAGACTTAACAATCCACCGAAGGAAGCTGCAAAAAAGTATTAAAAACAGCATAAAATCTTTCACATATAGTAACGGTTAACAAAGAAACCCCCATGTCTTCCAATCCCTTACTATTCCTTAGAGCGAGCGCACATTGACAATCGTACAAGTGCGATTGTCGATTGTTTCGCAGCCAATTCAACTGTTTAGTTGCACAACTAATTATCTAGTAGTGTGTCCATAGTAGCTCATAGGAATCAAAGCATGACTAAAAATTGTGCGATAGTGTAGTCAGTCGCACCGTCTTACCGTCACCCTACAATTTTACTGTACTGAAATACTATAAAAGTATTTACGAGGTTAAATTATTAGGAACATAATCCAACATCTACTGACAGCATGATGCTATCATGTCTTGAATTGTGTACATTTAATCTGATTTAAAATACTCGTACGGACGATTAGGTGCATCGATTTAAAATTAATTATACCTGCGCTTGACCACGCAAGTTAACAGCTCAGTAATTCCCATCACCAACTTTACCTGGAAGTCTACTAACGCTGCCACCTTGTACTCTAAATTTTACAAGCATTGATTTTTGACTATTAAGATAAGGTGGATTGTAAAAGCATACATACCAAGTATATTTTGCCAATTCAAATAAACATCACGTCGATATCTGGTAGATACTAAGTCGTTGAAGAACACATTCAACAAGGACCGGTTTTCCAAAATTGTATTATGTCTGTAAAAACCATAAAAACCTACTAATATCGTGAATATGAAAGTTTAGATGGATGGATCTTTTTTAGAGTTGGTAGTCTAAGTTGCTGAACAGATCTTGTTAAAATTTTGTAGATATGTAGAGGATAGTCTGGACGAAAACATAGACTCTACTTCTTTTTTAATGAGTTTTAGTTGCAAGCGAAATCTAGTAATCTACAAATTTACACATAACGATTGAAATGCCACATTTTAAGTTGATAAAGATACCATATGAGGGTTCTTAAGTAAAAGGTCAAAGCAACTAATCACATTAATGTGATGAAGATGGCTAACTGAAAACGTAGTGCGGCTTGCATTGATGTGTTAAGTAACTTACATCAAAGGTAGTCTATTTAACGGCAAGTTCATTGCCAACTGTCCAAATGCCACTTCCAGTGGGTAGTCAAAGTGCTCGCACTCTGGCAAACATTTCGTGTAGTCTTTTAAAATTTGATAGCGAACGCTTACATCTTGTAAAGGTACTGTAGTAAAAAAAAACATATTTTAATCATACTTACATTAGAAATGCGACAATTTAGATGGATGGATGTTTGTTAGAGTTTGTAGCCTAAACGGTTTAACGGATTCTGATGAAATTGTGTGGAACAACACATAGGCTCACTTTAGTTTTTGTTTAGTTCCACGCGGATGGAGTCGCGGGCGCAAGCTAGTAGTAGTATAAAATAACAGTAGTCACTGCTGTCATTTGTAATAATAACGCTTATTAAAACAAATACATTTCCTAATTTAAAAAGCAATTGAAACGATTCAGTGTAAACCCAATTTATGAATTTGACAAATAAATATTACGCCAAATTAACCGCCAAACTGTTATGTTTTATTCGGACGAATGACCTTATAAAGTCAGGACTCAATTGGAATAATCTCTAGGGGCGCTGCGCTGCGGTTACAAACATAATTTTGTTTGTGCAGTTCAAATAAAGAAAATCCTAATTCATTTGTCACTCTATTTTTTATATTTTTTTGTAAAAAGCACTACACAATGCAACCTTCACAGATCAGCGAAGAAATTCAAAGATATGTGTGAAGTCAACCAACCCGCAATGGGCCAGCGTGGTTGACTATGGCCTAGTCACCCTTACTTTAGTGTAGGCTTTGAGCCCCTCGGTGGGGACGTTTAGTGAGCTGGTGATGATGATGATGACTACAATTATGTCGAATACGATGAAAGTGAAAATTATACTGAGATATGTATGGGTAATTAGTAAATACTGTGCCGACTCTCCATGCCAAAAAGATAATGTTGATGCTACTACAAAAGTAGAAAAAACTTAGGAAATATTGCCTTCCACATATCACATATTTTTTTACCCTAAATAAACTGCACTGACTTTAATACATATTGTTATCGCTTACATTCTCTTTGAGAAAACAGAGACAGAATAATATGTCAATACAAGTATCACGCCGGTCAATACGGGAATAGTTTGAAAAGTCATAATTAAAAATAATATAGCAGTAAACAATTACCTAAAACACTCTCGAGGCAGTTCATGTCTTTAAAATTACAATGCCGGGTATATTCTGAAACAATAATTTATTATTATAACAAAGCTATTAATTATAACAATATCGAGGTTTTGTTATGCAGATTTTTTAAATAATAACGTTTTCATTTTACAATACAGTACGTAAATAATATGTAATGTGTAAAGCATTATGTTCCAATGATTAATCAAACTACATTTAGCTCTTTGCTTTAATTAGTCAGAGTATGAAGAAACTGAGTACCGGGAAAATAAAATCAATTACACAGTAACATGCAATACAGCGCATGGTTTCGTTTACTCGTGAACTAGAGAGATACAAATATACTCGTATTACTAATTACAGAGCACCAGCACTTTCCTTCGTGAGTTTTAAATGGAATAGATGCGATTTACCTAACATAGTGCATCAGAATGTTCCGTATTATTTAAGGTGATCATAACAATTTTTTGACATGTCATAAACATTTTAATTATTATTTTAAAGTAGTTACAGACTCTACGCAAACTTTACGATGCCTTGGAATATCTAGCAAAAGACAATAAATAACAAAATATAGATATCGAAGGGGCTTAAAAAGATGCGGGGCATACACAGTAGACGCTTTTCCCTTCATAGCGAGCCCATGTTGAACATGCTCGTTGCTAATATTGAGCCGCAATAAAGTTGAATATAATTACACCTTTAAAAATGTTACCTGCCGTTCGTAGAGGAAAATAATAAGGTATACAGTGACAAATACTCCTTATTATTTTTATATATTCGTATGCCCTGCAGTTATGAAACGAATATCGTTCGAAATCACCAACTTTTATCTGAAACATATATATTTTTATACATACAATTGTCAATTTTTAATCTTCGAGTAATCATCATATAGGTGTTCTAAAGATTATCGTTTCACCATCATCATCATCACTATTATTATTATCATCATCTGTCCGTATTTGCTGTATGCGTTCCTCAGCTCCCCGCATCAGCAAAATACGTATAAAATCGTTTGACGCCACTGCAAATATTCAGCTTTATTCGAAAAAAAACATTTTTTATATAAGCAATAAATCGTCGTCTTTTTCTTGTTTTAAAATTGTGAGAAGGGAAGAGAAACACAACACCTGTCGAGCTTGTCAGTTCGACAAAAGAAAAGATGCAGCGAGCTCTAACATAACATAGTTATGTACGCGCATGTCAGCCGTCCGAAAGTTAAAAGTGCGCTTCGTAATTGTATTTCGTGTCCGTCCACTAACAACTCCATTAGGCCATCAGCGTATAAAATATTATACAGTTACGGGCTGACCCCTGCGAATCTTCCAGAGTAACGATGCCTCGCTGACAACTTAATTAAATTTTCTCTCACCGTAACCTAACTGGGAAACGCTCGATTGTGTTATATCGCTGTAAAACACGTGTGTCTCCTACCTGCTATTACATGTCTTAAATAAATTCTTTAAAAACACGTTTTGTTAATAAAAAAACACTAACTGTCTAAGAGCGTGTGCACACCTTTAACTAAACTATCGCACAACTGTTTCATCTCGCTTAGTTGTGCAACTAAACAGTTGAATTTGCTGCAAAACAACAGACAATCGCAGAACATTTGTGCGATAATAATTCGTATGCGCCATGTGTGCGAGTATAACATTCAATGGAAAAAAACTAATAGAATGACATTTCAATTTTCAAAATTGGTCTAGTCCAAAAAATAACATACGTACAAACCCATATACATATTGACATACGCGCGAAAAACATTACCCTCCTGAGTCAGTCGGGTAAAAGTCTAAAAATAGGGACAAAAACTGTCAGCTTATGAATTAAATTTTTCCGCATACCACGGTTGCTGCGTCGCCGCCGCCGCGTCTCTGAACGGCTCAGAACCTGATTGGGTTTACGTAATGTCTTTAACAGTTAATAAAAATAGAGATTCTATATACTCGTATAACATGATAAATAAATTTTCATGTTTCGTACACACGTTACGATGTAGCATTACTTTTAATAAAAAAGTACATTCTGTCTGGTCGCAAGTCCGCGCTTGGTTCGGTTAATATACGAAACAACTGGACATTTATTGAAAGGTAGCTTACGCGAGATCTACTTAGACTATTTTCATTTCACCCTGACGATGTAGCGAGACAACAGCTAGTTTAAAATACATTTTTTTTATATTACAAGGTGGTGAAGCAAGCGACCACCTGAATCCTCCGAAATGGCGAAGCAACAGCTGTCTACAGACATCCGCTATTGCAGATGCATTGCCTTCCCTTATCCGACGGAGGGGAAGTCGCTCATAAAGTGGATACTTCCCCTTCCTATGCCTATCCTACACCGTCAAATCCACTTTTTCTTCCCATACTGTCCTCTCAAGAAAAGGGGTGGAAAGGGAAAAGAACTAAAAATTTGGCCTCCGCTACCACACTCATCAGACAAACGTGGAATTGCTTTCGCTTCACGTCTGTCTTCTGTGTGGTATTACACCGGGCGAGTCGGCACTGCAGGTCGAAGATGTTAAAGAGGACTCTACCACTGTTAACACATAGAGCATGTATTCTCAATACGCATATAGTGAAATGATACATAGTTCGAAATATTCAGCTTGACAGAAAATACAATCAAACAACACACTAATAATACAACGTTTAACAGGAACAAATATCAAAGGCTGCCTTCAATCGATTGTTCTGAAAATCGAGATTGTAGTTAGCGCAGTTTACAACTTCCACGTCTAACTAAGTGAACTGAATCAAACATTCCATCCTTGTAAATAAGACTGATAGATTAATTAAATTGGTTCTAGACGCTTTTCACAGACACAAATTTAAACAGCGTTTAGTTGCAAAGGGTGAAAATTACTTGTAGGTTTTCACGTGAAAATTAGTAAAAAAATGAAATGTTCGGAAAGAGCGTCGGTGCAGTTGTTAGGCTTTTGACGGGATCGATGCATGTTCGTCCACTTTTGATCTCTGTCTACCAATGGATTTTTCGATCTTGTACATTTATCCGACGTTCCTACATTGGTACCTGCACATCGGCGAAGAAATTGGTGAAGTCAACCAACCCGCAGTGAACCCTTTTTTTTTTTTTGTCGCGGGGAATGCATTTACGCACTTCACCGTCCATGCTGCGGGGGCAGCAAGGACAGTTTCGTGTGGGACTCCCGGCCTTAATTCCGGCCGGACTACCCACTAAACCCCGCGGTGTTCTCCTTCGCCCAACCGGGCCGTGGCATCTACGTTAGTTTATCCACGACCCGGCTTGGGGGAGCCCCTTGGTAGGGGCTCGACATGTGTAGGGAGGGGTCAGATGTCAAGCCCCTCCCATCACCCTACGATGATGGCCCCCTCGGGAACACAAGAAGAGGCACATCCGCCACATTCGGCTCGACTGGTCCCCCGACCCGTCGCGCATGGCCCTCTCAGTTCATCTGAAGGGCCGCGGCGTATCTCGCACGCCGGCGGGCCCTCGCTGGAGCCCTGCGGGGCGGCAGCGTTTCGCCGGCACGTTCGCGTACCCGGCAGTGAACCCATTGGGTTGACTAAGGTCTGGTCTGTCCTAACTGGTCGAGCTGATGATGGTGATCATCACTTTACTATAGCTAACACAAGGACAATCTTTCGTAAGATTTTTTTTAATTCAGAAGATGCTAACAAGTAGTTTTATTTAACTACGTACAGAATTTTATGGGAGTAGAAAATATTAGTCGCCTTTACATTCACTATTGCGCGTTTCAAAGAGCTCCTTGCTGTTTATATTGAGAAAATTAATAAATGCAATATCACCAGTCTATTTATTTTTTATTCTCGATCATTTTCCAGTACGAAAATCACAACAGCATTAAGTTAAATCAAGCATGAAAAGTTTGGTATTCCAGGATCGTCGCGTCGAGTCGAGTTTTACATTATTGTGAGTCAATATACGAGTAGTCGAAGAGTTAAACACGTTTTAAACTTATGATGGAAAATCGTAGACCAAACTGTCACCATAAGAGCTATAATTTATTACATATGTATGGTGCTCCAACATATTTTCGACCATATTGTATAGTGATCGTTAAATGACATTTCAACTTAAAAAAATAAACTTCTTCCAATGTAAAATAATATACGAAGCTCTCAATGGAACGAAATTTTATCAACTAAGACCTTAGTATATCAAAGGCTTACGATCCTATGTTGAATACTACTAAATAAATTTGACACTCTACCCTCTGTTGAGGCATGAGGGGAAGTCCACATCCAGAAAGAGATATAGAAGGCGCGCATTGTGTTTGGGTTTAAAAAATACCTGAACTATTGTTTAGGGATTATTCCCAACCGTCAACCCACTCAGTCTCCACGTGGGACTGTTCCCAATTTCATTTCATCTGTATGAGAATAAAAAGTTTCATCCATCCCACCCTTTGCGACGAGGGGACGGTTGGATCTTATTTTATTTCATAACGGTTCCATCTGACACCTTATTGATGACAGTGGGACTAAAAGGTGGGACGGATGAACATTTTTATTTTCACATGGGGACAGAGCGGGGTGACGGTTGGAAGTAATCCTTGTTGAGGATGTCCCCAACCATCACAACACCGTAACTTATTAGCCTATACTTTCTGTTAAAAGCTTAAAATGAAAAGTATAAAATGATATAAACTTTCATATAAAATATTAATTTTCATTTATCTATATCGACAGAAAGTGTATTGTCTGTTTATAACATCGTAATATTTTTTACATTTTCACCTACATGTTATGATGTATTTGCATAACTTAAAATTAAAGATCTTTAAAATTTTGAGCGGTCTATTTGTCTGTCTGTCCTAGGGTTGGACCAATTATGACAGACATTTAATAGACATTAGCATATGCAAAAGTAACATAGGTTATTTTTGCTTTTTATTCCACACCGACGAAGTCGCGAGCAAAACATAGTCGCTTAACAGTATTCAGCGTTGCACAAAATTTTAATTTTATATATGATGAAGAGTACAGTTAATTAAGCAAAATATTCTTTTGAAGTATCATACAAACGTGGTCAGTATGACACAATAATGGCCTTTGAAAACCAATTCCACACAGACGGTAACGAGAAATTCTGTCATAAAATAATTCTTTGACGTACTAATAACGTTAAAGCTGATTTTAATTAAAATTCTTTGTGATACATTTAAATGCTGTATTCATACAATTTTGGTTCTGTAACTTCAGGAAATTTGTTTCTGAACTAAGTAACTTGAGTTTTCCGTTGCAAGTCAAGTTAACGTACTAATGAATCACTAGCTAACAATTACATAAATAGAATCCTTAGCAAACCCGCAAAAATGCTGTTTTTAACCGATTTAAAATTCTTGTTTCTTGTGTAATTAGCATAAGTATTTTAACGTATATTCAAAAATTTAGTTGTATGCGCACCTCCATATAAGCTCATAGAAGTCAAAGCGCGACTAAACAGTTATACGATATTTTTGTCAAAGGTGCGCGCTCTTAAGTTACTCTGAGTAAATAACCCCCGCTCTATTCGAAGACAACGCATTTTTAACATGTGATATAAGGATTAGTGAAAAACTTATCATTTTCAGTTTTACGTCAATTGCTTCACGATTACGCATATTATTCGAAAATATATAATCGTTTGATGAAAATCATTGATTGATTAATGTTATTGATTATTACAGAAATTTCAAACATAAAATCATACGAAGTAAATATCAGTGAAATAGAAATATCGTGTAGATTAAAAAATCTCTCCCTAGAGTATAAATATGTGATTTTTCCATCAGTCGTAGAACAGTAGTGAACGTAAGTAAACATTAATTTGTTCTTTAACGTTATTATTTTATATGTGACTTAAGGCAGGGCAGGGTATAAAAAATATAAAAACAATTTTATTCTGCAAATTACGCGAATGACCTTTTGTTTAATTTCTGTTGAATCTATACATATAATAAAATTAGAGTGCCTATTTGTAATATCAAAAGAAAAATTCTAGATTTCGGGAAGATGATGTATTTGCGTTGCTGGTAACGAAAATCGCATTTAACTTTTTTGTCTGTCTGTCTGTCCGCAAGCGGCCTTTGTTCCGGGTAATCTCCGAAAGGGCTGGTCGTTTTCGACCGGAGTTTCGCTGAAGGGTAGCTGACATAAACGGGCATATAATAGACCAAGTCGCGGGCCACAGCTAGTATTGAATAAACGCGTCATGTAAGTTAACATCACTTTATTTATCGAAAGCTTTTTAATTATCTATAATGATAATAATTAAAATGAAATAACGACGTATTTTCCAACAATGTCATCTCTATTTTTTAATCACAGTCGAGTACGTCGCGTGGACGTGCGTTATCGACGCGTGGTTAAATAGGAAAATAAACTTGGTTGAAAATACTTGCAGATTTAGAAACCGTTCGTCGATGAAGTAGTGACGCACTGTTGGTTTGTTAGCCACATATCCGAGACTTAAATACTAGTACTTAAAAGAAAGTGAATCACTTGATACAAACAACGCCTTATAGTTTATGCTTTATTATCAGCCGTGAACCTAGAAGTCACGAACACTGATAATAAAAATGAAATAAGATTATAACGATTACCATCTTGCGATCAATCATTATTAAATTTTTAAATTAACATACACTTTTAGTAACAAGATTATTGGAAATTTTGATAATAAGAGATCATGAATATTTTTTTGTTTATATTTACAAGACATATTAAAAAAAAAGATCCTACACATCCTTTATTGCCCGTAGCTGCACATGTGTATAGGCACCTGTCATTTGCTATTTTACCTAGCCTTTTGCTAGTTTGCTATTAACATGTGTAAAAAAAATAACAAGCGACATAACGTTACATGTATATCTGTAAAATAATTCTGTAACTAACATACACTGTTGAATATTTTATATAGTTAACATGTGGCGGATTTTATGATAAAATATTTTTGTTACGATAAAATATATCCAAATATTGGGGGCCAAGACTTGTTATCTGAATCCGGAATATTTTATCAACACAAACACATATAATCTACATCTATCAAATATATTAAATAAAGTTTTTCGTGACCTTTGAGCTCATGCAACAGAACATATCTGTTAAGCAATATTCCAAGGTCATTTGAATTTTGTGCATATGAAGTATCGAATTCAATTTGTATGAAGGTAAATGCCGTACTTAATAGTTATCGTAGTGACGAGCAAACACGCATAGAGAACAATTATGAACTATCGACATTCGGTTTAAATAATTATCGAACTCAACTAAAATTATTATTTTGTTAATTACTAATTTAGAGGACAATTCTAGTATTGATTATAGTGTAGAGAATTTAGCGATGACAGAAATGATATCAAAATCCAATTCGATTACGTACGGCTGTAGTAGTAATAAATATATATTAAGTCTCATTTATTTGTTATAGTCATTATTAATTTGAGAAAACATTTTTTTTTATTTATAAGTTATAACTATAAATCTATCGATTCCAACTTCTATAAGAATAAAAATCGAAAATCGATAAGATTCATCACCGCTTTTACACAACCCATCACTACTAAATATCAAATTAATTGTCAAACTAATCTATCTTATTAAGACAAACTATAGTACTAAATATTTTCAATAAAATGACTTACCTCATCGTTATAATAGCATTGTCGTTCCTCAATACTGAATGACTTTATCCCTGGCGTGGTGTAAGTGCGTTCCGGTGATAACGCCAGTAACACTTCCGTCAATGGATTTACCAGACGTAACGTGGAATCCGAATCAGGCATATTATAAGGGTTGTCAATTAGAACCTGGACAAACATATTCATTATTTACTTTCGCTAGCGACACCTTGACTAGACACCATCCTTGAAAAAAAAAAAGTTAAAATTTATCCTATGTGTTCTTCAAGACTATGTACATCTGTGCTAAATTTCATCGAAATCCGTTTATCAGTCTAGGCTACGAAATCTAATATCTCTCTAATAACATCCATCCAAACACTCGCATCTACAATATTATAAAGATACTAGCTGTTGCCCGCGACATTGTCCACGCATTGTTAAGATAACAAGTAGCCTATAATATGCCCGTTTATGTCAGCTACACTTCAGTGAATGTCCGGTCGAAATCGTTCCAGCCGTTTCAGAGATTACCCGGAATAAACGCGGCTTGCGGACAGACAGACAAAAAAATTTTCAAATAACGAAAATTTACGTTATTAGCAACACATATAAATTATTTTCCCGAAATCTGGAATTTTGCTGTCGAAATTACATAGACACTCCAATTTTATTATGTTTATAGTTAGATAGATATTTATTAACAATTTAATATTAAAATTCGCTAGTTCGTAATTAATAGAAATGTAATATTATACCACATTGAAGTTAATATTGTTAATTATGATTGATTATAGGCGTTGCTAATTAAGTTCGTAACAAAAATACTTGCATGTTATTGTTATTTTCGATACAAATTGATAATCTGTTTTGCTATGTACTAATATATTTAAATCAACCATTGTAAATTTTACGATAGAGAGAACATACATGTGAAAAATGTTATATGGTTTTTAATAACAGAGATGACCTCTATCATTTAACTCAATTGCAGTATTTTTTTTTATATTAAAAGATGACAAATGACATGATGCCCATAGACATAGGACAGAGGAGGAGACGCACATAAAGGATATTTCCCCTTTCTATCCGTCTCCTGCACCGTCAACTCCACGATTCCTTCCCATCCCTTTTTGGTATAAGAAAAAAGGTGGGAAGGAAAGACCTCGGGCACCACACTAGACAAACGAAACGAGGAATTGCTCCTGTCTCACTCACACCTGTCTTCTGTGTGGTCGTGGTATTACACCGGGTGAGCCCACCCATTCGTGCGAAGATGTTAAAGCGGGCTCTACCACTGTTAAAATCCTGTGTTCAATGAAAGGTTTTCTGGACGTAACGTTTTTGAACTTAAAAATGTAGACATCTTTTTATGAAAGCTGATGGCTTGCGAATAATTATCAGTTAAGTCACGATGATTAGGTTTTTTTTTATTGTGTGTCTGTTATTGCAACATTGTCTATATAAGATTGGCCAAAGATCCGTTATTAATATCAAAATCACTTCAACTTTGTACGAAGTTACAGGGTTATTTACAGGGTAATAATTATTATAACGATTGCACAATTAAAGACTTCTGCCGTCGTCAAATGCTCATTGTGTAAAAATCTCTCGGAAACTTAGTGTTTTGAGACTTTTGAATATTTCCTTGTGCGGAAATAATCTTGAATATTTTCACTTACATGATTAAGGTCTGTTACAGCGTTAGGTTATACTAATTTTGTACTGATAAAGTAACCTTGATAAATAAGGAATCATCATTCACGAAATATTTCGTCTGAAATTATTATTGTCTACAAGGGACAAAGTATTGTTGATATGAATAAACAATCATTTCCTCGTCCGGTATATAGATCAAATCATAAATCGGTATATAATCTATTTTAATTAATTACAAAATAGATTTTGACAACTTCACCTCGAATTATATCATTCTATCGAGACATTGAATTTAATACAATCTGATTAAATTGACGCATAAATCATCCATTTACATTTGAGATTACATACACGTGAGATCCGTTTATATTCATTACAAAATCACACCTTATGTAATATTTTTTATTGCACCAATTTATCGCGAATATACCGCTTGTAAGAATCACTAATGATTCTATAAACACTAGAAATGATAACATTTATTTAAACGCTAGTTTTCACCTCATATGCCCCCACTTAAGAACTCAAAGCCTACCCTACTTGGGTACAAGGTGACAAGGTCATGGCTAGTCAACCTTGCAAGCCCGGTTCGGGTTCGTTGACCTCAAACGTATGTTAAATTTCTTCGCCGATAATGAAGCTTGCTTTAGGATGTTTTTTTTTTCGGCGTAAAAATATTGGATAAAGTAAACATATGAATTTATACATACAAAAACATTGGTTACATTGTCGGGAATCGAACCTGGATTGCGTAGATTACCGGTCTTTGACCGAGCGCTTAACAACTGCGCCACCGATTTAAATGTGATCTTTCCGAATTTTTTTACTTTGTGGTCGATATTCGGTTTATATTAGATCATAATTCAGAACCTACACTACTTATATTGATATCAGTGTCAATTAGATTCACAAACTATTCTTAAACACTTCAAAGACGTTAAAATTCGTATGTAATTTGGAGTTTATGCGTGGTCTGGCCGCTACTTATTAATAATGGCATAGAATCTTCCATGCGTCTTCTATACTAATATAATAAAGCGTAAACACACACTACTTTATGGCATAGTATATCAAAAAGCACATTTTTGGTTAATTATTTCTTTCTTTATTAAAAAAAAAACCTATACTTACTACACGCTTTACGCTATATATTTTCACGCTATTAAACTTAGGGGGTAAATAAGTTGTAAAAAACCTTCATGTGGGAAAGGGACAATAAACTATAAGCTGCCAACATTAAGGAAGCAAGGTTGTTATGGTAACTTGAATTTTCATATTTGAAATTGAGTATTTGACAAGTGTAAACAACAAAATAATTTCTCGCGGATGAAGCCGCACGGGAACAGCTAATATTCAATAATTCAGGTCCGACCCACGCGTTTGGTTTCACTGAAATGCATAGGTATTGTGAAGTGACATGTCAGGTTAATGGGGTTGGAATTACGTAGGCGGTTTGAGGCGACGATACGGCGCGCGGCGCTGCCCGGACAACACATTACCGGTCGATACTTATTGTAACATCTTCTGTCGCCACAAAACATAAAATTAGACACTGTTTAGTAAAATACGTGATTTAAATATATGTTGTATATTTCTCAGTAAATATGTATCACCACACTGCTTTTTATATTTTTATATTACGTGAGTTCGATTCTCGAATCGTGATCGATTTTCGAATACCTTTATTCTATATTATTACGGTTAAGGAAAAAAACATCATGATGCGTCCAAGCTCATATGTGAAAAGAAATTCAAAGAAGTGTGTGAAGTCAAACCTATCTATAGGGGCAGTGTGATTGATAAGACCTAATAACAAACTCTGAGAATTTGTTATTTCATAATTTGATATTGGTATTTCAAAACTATAAATCGTAATAATTTGCATCAGTATTTTATTCTTGGTATAAAATTAGCACAATGGTGTAAGAGAAACACTGGCTCCCGGTAGACTGATTTCATTTATTTAAATTACGCGAATTCAAGCTCAAACGGAAATTGTAATGGTCAGTAATTCCAGGTGATTGACTAAGACAATTAGAGAACGGAATCATTGGCACATCAGGTGTACTTATGTCAAACTTAATTAAGGTAGCTTACTAGCGCCCCTCGGACGATGTCAAACAGTGTCTCGATTTCCTTGTATTACTCTGAGTCTATCGGATTAGTCCGTCTATTTTCCCTGAGCTATAAGAGCGGGCGCACACCTTTGACTAAAATCTCGCACAACTGTCGTGCTATTGTCGATTGGTTCGCAGGTCATTTAACTGTTTAGTTGCAACTGCAACTAATGAGTAGTATGCGCACCTCCATATAAGCTTAACGGCGCGAAATGGTTAATAGTTTTTGAAGGATTAAAGTTACTGGTCATTAATAATTTTGAGTACTGGCTGAAAAAAAGTAAATTTGATGTATGTAAAAAAATAAAAAAAAAAGTACTGGCTGAATGTACATCGCATGACAGATGTCAAGACGACGATTAATCTCTGTACATTTTTGCAATCTGATGTTAGATCGTGTTGTGCAGTTTTCATTTAAGATAGTAGTCAAGTAAGGATGGTGTTTCTAATGTTACCATTTTGTTATTTAATTATCTCCGACATACGCACGCACACAATGGAAGATGTTTACATTGTATATGATCTGCCTTCGAAATTAATTCTTCAAACCGATAAGTCCATAGTATTTTTTGTCACTAACTGTGAACAATTTCACTGTAACTTATCTTAGCTTTTGTTACTTTTAAGGTAGGGTGTTGCTATACAATGTCTCCCCCTCCCACAGCTATGTCCATGGCGAAGAGATCAATTATATTCGCTCGACATATTATACGTAAAAGTCAATCAAGGCATTATGGATCATAGATTCTCCTCCCAGGAGGAGGTAGGGAGGCAGACTGTCTGTAGCAAGATTATTTATTTTTGAGGAGATAAAATAATGTGTTGTTTTATAAGTGAAATTACAGATCAGAATTACTGACGCAATTATAATACAAAATATTTTCCATTGTGAGTTCGCTTTACTAGCTGATATAGGAATTTAATTTCAATATATGAGTAAAAATATTTTAGCGAAGCGCAAATGAATTCGGTTTAATTAATGTTGGACATACAATGCCATCTATTGTTTGAAATTTTCATTGGAAAGATCGAACTTGACTCGGAAAAGGAAAATTCAGTAAACAATAAGCGTGTGGGTAGCGGGCTTCCATACCGTTTGAAACTGAAAATGTGCAAAAGATTTATTATCACCTATACAAGGGCAGACACCATCTCCGAAGGCCCGACGATCTGGCGCTAGTTGTTTTAAATAAATTAAGATTCATAAGATGTTAGGACCAATTTCCACTTAACCAACCACACAAGTGCGACCGTACGTAGACTGTTATAATAAAGACTAGCGGCGTATCTCGCGCGACTAACGGCTTAGTGAAAACAGACACTTAAAAGCTATCCTCACATGACTGCATAATGAACGTCACAAATAATATTTCATGGTTCGCTTGTTAACATCGTGGACCAAGAAAACATATCATGAGTAAGGTCATACTAAGGTATTGCATATTTTGTATTTAAAAAGAAATCATTTTTCGTAAAATTTACTGTAGATCTATTCCATAGCTTTCTGACCCGATCGATTATCCGTTCTACGAGTCCTACCGATTATCACTTAAGATTAACTTATTAAGTGTAATATTTTTTAAGTTCGAATATTAATAAATATTATTTTTACACGGAATAAACAATTGTTATCTCTGTATTGATAAAACAAATGTGATTAGTTTTTTATCTTTCTTATTGCAGCGAAAATGCATTCGAAATTTGAAAATTCAAATTCAAGTACCTATTGTAATGTTTACTTAAAAAATAATTATTAAATACTAGCTGTTCCCGTGCGACTTCATCCGGATGAAATCATGAAAATTTTATTTTATTGTTTACATTTGTTAAATCACAAATGTCAAAATGACATGACATGATGATAACCTTGCTTCCGTGATGTTGGCAGGAACTTATGGTCTCTTTCCGACATTAGGGTATTTTTCCATAATATTTACCCCCTAAGTTTAATGGCGTTAGAATATATAGTTTAAAGCGTGACGCAAGTGTAGGGCTTGTTATTAAAAAAAGGATTATTTAAAAATATGCTGTTATAGCTTACATCTTAGGCGACAAAGAAGTATGTATTTACGCTTTATTATAATAGTATACATTCATTTACTAAACAAAGTTCTTTAAAACCGACACATTTTTACCACATTTTAAATTAATGCGAAAACTAAATATATGCAGAAATGCTTTAAGTATGATACTTTAAGTAACTATCTCGAATTAGTTTGTCACAGATGTCAAACACTCTTGAAGAACATAGGTTACTGATAGGGTATTTATTAATTTCGCAAAACTATGCGGACTAAGGTTTAAAATAGTTTTTTTAACTGTTACAATTATTTAGTAATCGTTCAGGTAATGATAACAAAAAACCGACATTTTGCTTAAGAATTAGAAAATATTGTCAACTCTTTCATACCCCTTGATAAACCAAGGACTACAATATTTGTATGCTATAGTCTGTATTTACCAGGGCTCCTGTCGTTGCGATGTTGGTACTGTAATAATCATCAGAATCTGTTCGAATGAGAACTGCTAAAGCAGTTTGATATCCACAGGAAGCGACTCGACGAGGTGAAGGCATATAAATTAGATCCCTGAAAATAAAATATATCCACGAGTGTAGATAACAGCATGAAAAACCAAAACGACTAGTTACTTCAGCAACTTCTTTTTTTATAAAAAAAAAGAAGAACTTCTTTTTTTATAAAAAAAAAGAAGGCAAACGAGCGGCGGGAACAAAGAGGTGCTCAACGACGACAACGGACATCCACAACACCAGAGGAACTACAGCTTTGAGGAAATTGTAAGCTCGCTTCTTAAAGGACCCTAAGTCGTAGATACTGGTTTGAAAATACTGCCGAGGGCAAACAGTTCTACGACGCGGCTATGAAATGCCAGACATCGTTGCCATCTTTTTAACTTATTTTAGCTTACATGCAATGATCACTTCGCTTGTTGCGACATCATTTTGTAGTGTTATAAAATAGCTAAAAGAATTTTCAAAATTGTATAGAACTAAGATTTCAGTAGCTGGTTATTCATCATCTCCCCTGCCTTATCCTACTCCCGTAGGGTCGGCGCACCGGTTTTCGTCCTCCAAAGCACTCTATCATCCGTCATCTCAGTCATCACTCCCTTCTTTATCATGTCACCTTTTACACAATCCATCCATCTCTATCTAGGTCTACCTCTACCGATGTACCCCTCCACATTCATAACTAATATCCTTCTTGTTACATACGATTCATCCCTTCTCATAACATGCCCAAACCACTCTAACCTTTTACTCCTCATTTTCTCAACCACTGGGGCTACTCTCAAACTTCCTCTAATATACTCATTTATTTCAGTAGCTGGTTATTATGTAAGAAAATAGTGCTATCTATTCTAAATTAAATGTATACTCACGCATTACGCTTTCCTTCAGCTGTTTTTATGAAAAAGTTATTAAATGAGCAACAAATGTTGAAGCTTATTTTTATTTGCTGGAATAATTGTTGACAACGGTACATCCTGCTCTTCCACATGCAACGTTCTATCAATTTGTTGCACGAAGTAGTTGGTGTAAGCTAAATTAAACGAAGAAATATCATTAGAATTTCGCTGTCACATAATTTAGTTGCTAACAATTTGTTTTTGTAACACAATACTCTTTGGAGTTACCAATTAATAAGAGTAATAAAGAAAACTGTTCGCCTTACTTGTGAAAATAGTGATTCAATACTAATACTGTTATTTTCCATAACATCTTGCAGAATACTCAAATCATGTTTCACGTTATTTGGAACAATATTATTTGAATTTAATAAAGGTACAAAACGTAACGTCTTGAAAATAAACTCTTCTGTAATATTCTTCGGCAATGATCTAAAACATGTTCACGGATTTTTGATAAAGAAATACTTGAAAACACAAAATACACAAAATGTTTAATAATATTACTAATGTTATAAATGCAAAAGTTTTGATGTATGGATGGACGGATGTTTGTTAAAGTTTGTAAACGGCAGAATGGATATCGATGAAATTTGATAGTCTGGGAGAACACATGGCTGCTAACTTTTGTTTTTTATTTAATTCATCGCGGAAGAAGTTACGGGCGAAAGCTAGTGTTAAATAAAATTTTGTTCATTAATCCGTGGTATTAAGGAATTAATGCAGATTTCAACTAAGACAATCTAAACATGATATCTTACAAATTGTGAGCTAAGGCGTACGCAGCCTTACGCGAGACTCCATTCAAATCACATATAGTCACCGATGGAAAAGGTACGTCCCAAATAGCTCCTTGTGTGCTTTCAATAACCTACAATAAAACAAAGTATTGTATACTTTAATTAATTCTAAGTACTCTATTTCACAGTTTCTGCATCGTTTCCTCATTCCTGAGGATCGAGACTGCTCTTCTTAATTATTCTGCATTGGACAATTCTCTCATTTTGGCCGTTCTGTGAGGATGGTGTTATGCATTATGTCTCAAGCTAATAAAATTAAAAACTAGAAAAAGTCATATAACATAAAAATATTATAAAGAGTAAAATGTAAAGCGAAACTTGTTATTTATAAAAACTTCCGTTTTTTCATTTGTTTACCAAATATTTTGTATGATTGTTTTGTTTCATTTTTATTACGCGTATTTGATATTACGAATATTCACAAAATTTGTTCTGATGCAAACTTCCTTCATCCGGTTACCGAATCTATTTATTCGTTTCATTTGTTTGAGCAATTTTTAACTGAGTCATTATTTAAACTACTGATGAAAGCGGCAATATCACGATTTACAAAAACAAATTTGAATGTTTTGTCCGAGGTCAATAGAAAGATCTTTATCATGTCTGATTAATTTGGAATGTCATTTTATCAATAAATTCGAATGTCTGTTTTATATATAAAAAAAAAAACAGATTTCGAGAAAATTATTGATTATGAACAATTTTTTTGTCTGTCTGTCTGTCTGTCTGTCTGTCCGCAAGCCGCGTTTGTCCCAGGTAATCTCCGAAACGGCTGGGCTGCGTTCAATAGGACTGAAGGGTAGCTGACGTGAATAGGCATATTATAGACCACATTTTTAATTCCGCGCTGTCAAAATGGCGTAACGGGTGGTCCAAATATGCGCTAACGAAGTTTGCGGGCGACAGCTCGTTTGTTTTAAAAAAAAAGATGAAGAGAGGAAGAAGAAGAACAAGACATCAGAAAAACAACGAACGCTTGATTGGCAAGTAGGTATTTACACAAATACAAATGATGCATTTGCGCTCAGGAATTGTCTTAAAAAATTATCCTAGTTAGTGTTTGTTTTAGTGCTTACCGTAGCTATCGGATTTCTCGCATACCATCGATAAGCGGTGATGACGAAATAAGCGCCGCAAATAAGACTCAAACCCACCGCGAGCGCCCAACAGCCCCTGATGAATTTGTTATAGAAAAATCATTGATTGAAACTGCGACACCGAAAGGTGCAACTACTACGCGAATAATAACAAGGATATTTGAAATAATAAACACCCTTTACTCAACTAATTCCAAGTAAATAAATTTCTACAAACCTCTCAACGCTATTTAATTCCTCCATTACAATGTACTTGAAGCCATGCAAATCTGTTCTCTTACAGAATTCAGCGAACTTACTCTTTAGAAAATTGTAGTTCGGTTCGTTCTTTACTTTTTTATTTTTAAATACAGGATTTTTATGATTGTTAGTTAACATTTTAATAACTTTATTTAATTCAAATTTTTGAATAAGGGGTGTTTCAAAATCGCCTTTCCTGTACGGAATGAAAATATTGAGTGAGTACACGACCCTGTAATTATAATGGTTTGATCAAACAGGTTGATAAGAGGAGTACTGATGTGTACAACATGCAGAAGAATTAAAAAACTAAAAGCTCAAAAATTTACCCTTTAGTTTGTATACGAAATAAAAGCATTATATGTTTGATGATACTTTTATAATGCCACCACTCCAATTGACAAACACTTATTTTTTTAAGAAATATGTGAAGGTAGATAACAAAAACATTGCTTAAAAGTTATTCAGTATATTGATACTATTGTTTATAAGGTCGCAACAAGTTAATCGAGAAATAAACAGCATAGTAGTAAATGTTATATCAAGTAATATTTTAGTTTACTGTGTGAATGCATTATTATTTTGCGTGGCTTATAATCAATCAATGCCCACTTTCAAACTCAGCACTTAATGGTCTATTAAAAAATTCATAGTCTGTTTCCATACCGAGCGTCAACATTTATCATTGAACGTTTATTAACACGCTATATATGTTTGATACTCGAAGGTTGTTATTAAATGTAATTTAACATAATTTATTCCGAACATAAAACTATCATCGTATAAACGAAAATCGCAACTTCAACTCGCTTCTAACTTACTTATACTATTGGGAGCTTAACTTTCTCAAATAGTTACGTTCTCCTTTTCTTTAAACAAATATATCCACGACGAATGTCTATAGCCATTCCAGGCAGTTGAAAGGCCACATTTAGAGTTACGGGAAAGGATAACAGTAGCAACGACAAGTGGGCGGCTGGGACAAATACTATCAGAATGCAGTTAGTTTCCTAAATTCAGTTTATTCCCTTTTTATACGATTAGGGTTAAAATATAGTTTCTACAAAAAAAACAACGATCTCTTAAAATGACATTACCATTGTATTAATAATAGTAATTGTAAGTGAAATAACATTTTTTTAAACGTCTGTTAAACGATAAAGTTGTTTTTATATATTTCAGGTTTTTATGAAAAATAAAATAAAAACAAAGATTTATCATCTAATTTTATATGGCAATGAGCGACTGTCAACATGACATTATTGTCAGTGTCAAAATACTGGTAGGCTACGAGCCGTATATTTTGTGCCAATTTGATTTCCGCCATTTTGGCGCTGGCGGTTGCGAATAATAGCGGTGGTGAGAATTCGAACTAACAATAGCGATAGAATTAACTGTCAGAAATATCTACAGGCGCGTTCAAGTCGTAACGAAACAAAAGCTGTCATTTTCAATAAAAGACCTATCAAATAAAAATCAGTTGACGTTTACATTTGTCTTATGTTTTTCACTTTATGTTATCTTTTTTAAATTAAAATCACCTTATCATTAATCATCGAAATAACGATAAATGGATTAAAAGAAGAACCAATGTTGTACATACATGTCTTTCGTAAACTTTCAGAGACATTTAACGAGCTTTGGACTGATTTCGCTTAGACATGCATTATGCATGTTCGTCAGTAACAGGTGCTTTAATATAACCTTATGTTTGTGATTAATCTGGTCGATACGTTTGCCTAAGATAATACATTCACTTTGCCACTCTTTGGGCCTATCCCACCAATTTGTAAATTGTCTAATGACAATCCTACGTGTGTATGGAAATATCGCATTTTGGTACCTTATTTTAAACTATCTGAGCCTCTATCAGCCCGTAGTGGGACAGGCTTTTAATTCTCTCTTCTATATCAGCTTAAAGAATCATCTAATCTATTATAAATGGGATTGTTTAGATATACAAATTATACTAGGTATTTTCAAAATGGCCAAATAGATCTCATCAATTCGATTATACATGTATATCAATCTGGAAGTACTCATAAGCTACATAGAATACTGGAAATCTGCACAGTTCCGTACTAGGATGAAAGGCACAGTATGTGCTGCTCTTCCATACATTTCTATCAGCCGTCATATCTGAATCCACTCTCTTAAGCATATTTCACACAATCTATCCATACTTTCTTCAGTCTACCTTTACCACTGTAGCCATCCACGCTCAATCTTAACACTTTCTGGTTTATGTCCCCATCCTATTGATGCATAACATATTCATTCAAAGCAATCATGTTTGATGCTGATGATATTAAGTTTGTACAATATAATCTTTTGTTTCGCAAAGTCAATTAATACTGTAATAAGAAATTGTAGTTTTTTGGGCAATACTATGCCACATTCTTGTTTCCCTAACATATTTTTGGATCTGGGATCTGGGGTGAGGGGTGTTTCTTTATTTCTTTATTGTTAGAATTTTAAAAACTTTAAATCTTACAACATTCTTATGTCTACTCTTAACTCTATACTTAAAATATACTATTTAATATGACAAATGAATAATATAAAGTTACATAGATTATATACATAGGGTTCGGAAACATAAAACATTTATAATATGGCATCGCTTAGCTGACTTTATTGTATGTTTTTAACATTTAACTTATCACTACTGATTGGAAAATTTAAATCAAATATAAAATGTACCTTACAATAACCAAATCAGACAAGATAAAGGTACAAAATAGGTTTTACACATACATAAACAAAAACGCTAAGTGACTTTCCATTGCCAAAATTATAAAAAAAAGAGAATGAAATGCATTGTCTTTGAAAAAACAGAGATAACAAATGTTTACAGGTTTGCAGTGGAAAATCACAGCGCATATAAAAGTTATGAATACAAAACAACTTCACACTTACTACTAGATAAATGTTTATAAAAATCTAGCACCATTTTATTATAAAAACTGCCTATTCTATTAATCTCTATGGCAATAACCATTATGCCTTAATGGGCGTGGCCAGGCGATAATCTATAGGATGAGCTACCAATATGGTTTTAAGTGATTGTTTATATCTATTTTACAATTTTTTATTATCCAGGGCAGAGACGGCGAACATTTATGCATCAATTTTTTAAAGAAATGTTTAATGCAGTCTTAGATGTGCCATTGATTAATTTTGACTGCAAATATTACATCAATTCCATGGTGCACATACTGCATAATTTTTTCGTAGTGTTTTGTATGATTATCGACATACCCAAAATATTACGTGCATTTATGGTAGTGCCAGATGTTCCTTACCCCTGATCTAGGGAGCAGTGTCCCATTTTGTTCCCCTGGGAACGCCCATGTTGCCCATATCCAGTAACACTAACACAAAGTTTAAATAAGTTCATTATAACAAAGTAATATCTACCATGAATTAAATTTATTTTTGTAAACATTTATATCAAAATATAATATCTTAAGTCAACAAAAAAAAATTGTCGTTATGAATGTGGAAGGGTAGACGTAGAAAGAGATGGATGGATTGCGTGAAAGATGACATGATCAAGAAGGGTGATGACGGATGACAGATGATAGAGTTATTTAGAGGACGGAAACCCGGCGCACCGACCTACGGGAATAGGATAAGGTAGGGGATACAATGAATATCTTAAGTCAAAAATTTACAGGATATCGATAGATGTTTTTCAAAATGTTAAAAATATAAATCTGATAATATTGGTAACATTGTTAATATAGTACCAAAAAAATATCTCGCCCAGTGAGAAATGCTGCATTTATATTTAGAAAATGTAATATTTAATTTAGAAAATACACGAGACATGACGATTTTGATATATGAATCATGTTACAATTGCAATTGGTGCAATTACGAGCTATTATACTTAAATCACTGGGCCAAATAATTTTGTAGTACCATACTCATATGTAAATAACAATATAAACATATAAAAACACTTACAGTAAACACTTAACCTTATTTAACTAATGTTTAAATAGAAAAATTGTCACTCTACATACTAAAATAGTACAGTCAGCTGAATAAATAAGAATATATTTAAAAAACTTTATAAACTAACTAGCTACCGTCCGCGTGGAATTAAAAAAAAACAAAAGTGAGTAGCCTATGTGTTCTTCCAGACTATCCGCTACATCTATGCCAAATTTCAGCAAAATCCGTTCAGTCGTTTAGGCTACAAACTCTAACAAACATCCATCCATCTAAACTTTCGCATTTATAACATTAGTATATTGGCCTATGGTTTAAAAATATGCAAGCATGTATACATGAACATTATGTATTCAAGGTCGAAAATATACGGATGAATAAGTCGAAGATTATTATTAAAACTGAAATCGTATGTTTTTTAAAGCTTCGTAAATATATTTATATTTATGCAGCTGATTGTACTTTTATAAGACACACATACATTAAATGTTAATATGAAGAGCGGGCGCGCACCTTTGACTAACATCGCACAGCTGTCGTGAGATTCTCGATTGATTTTCAGCCAATTCAACTGTTTAGTTGCACAACTAAAAATCGAGTGTGCACCGCCATATAAGCTTATAGGAATCAATTTAAGCATGACTAAACAGTTGTTCGATAGTATAGTCAAAGGTGTGCGCGCGCTCTAAATGCTTAATAAAAATTAAAGATCTTTGAAAACAAACTTATTCTATTGGAATGAAGATATGAGATCATCTTCTATTTCGTTGTATGTACTTAAAAAGTAAATAAGACAATTTGATACTAAAATGCCTTTGGTTTCAATCACACCATACGTCACCTTCATATATAAAATATTAGACGTATTATTCAACTGCTCTATTCAACAAAAACATATGAAAATAAGTAAATATAATAATAATTAAGTTACATTTACAAGTTGTCAAATTTTAATTCCTATGGAATTACAGTCAAACAAGGATATCTTAACCAGTAAGAGGCTTGATCAGTTAGAAAATATATAAAATCTACACAATACAACATAAAAACATGGTAAAATGCATCTGGCAACATTTTCTAATTAAATTATTTTTAATAATTCAATTTGACTTATGCCATCCATACCGAGCCGATCCATGGGTCAGATATCCTTGTCAGGCTATAACTGTGTTTTTACTGTTATGACACTTTTATTGACATACTAGCTTTTGCTCGCGACTCCATCTGCGTGGAATTTAACAAAAAATAAACATAAGTAAGTAGTTTATGTGTTCTTCCAGAATATCCTCTACATCTATACTAAATTGCATTGAGATACATTCAGCCGTTTAACCTACAAACGCTAACAAACATCCATCCATCCATACTTTCGCATTTGTAATACCACTATAAAGTATGATTATATATTTGATGTCAAAGTGAATGTGAACGTGTCGATAAAAGTGTCCTCACAGACTAAAGAATATCATAGAACATTATTATTACTATATTTGAGCATGTTATTCGAATTGACAATAAGAATATCTATCTATATTTAATAAGACACATTTGGTCCACTTATGCACAAGGCAACATACATACAATAACATTACTTTAATAACAAAGGAAAAGTTACTACAAATAAAGAATTTCTTAATAATTCAAAATACAGTTATATTTTTGTGAGATATATTGAACACATCAAATTAATACATATTGTAAATTACTTTTATTTCAACTTTCTGAGATAATATCTATTATTGTAGATACAAAAAAAAAAAACCTTTTTAATTAAACCACATGGTTTCAAAATAAATGCTACGACCAACTTCTGTCGTCAATAAATCGCTCCTATGTAAACTATCGTATGTTCGAAACGCACATTTTGCATCATAAATCTTGATATAATACTACGATAAATTACAACATATTTTTTTTAATGTTACTTTCATTTTTACACCAAAATGTGTATTGGTAATGTTAATTTGAAAAATGCAAACATCAACTTGCTCTTATCCCTACGTAGGGTACATTATGTACTGCTTCCATACATCTCTATCAACCGTCATATCTAAATCCACTCCTTTCTTAAACATATCCTCTTTTACGCAATCCATCCATACTTTCTTCGGTCTTCCTCTACCTTTGTAGCCATCCACATTCAATCTTAACACTTTATGCTTTATGTCCCCATTCTCTCGTTCCATTACATGTCCATACGCTAACCTTTTGTTTCTCAATATGAAAAATACAATACAAAGTGTAAATTTAAAAGTTATGACTTACTATAGTTGACTTAGGAGCCTTCGTTATAAAAAAACTATTCGGGTATAGTTTTAAAAAAATGCACAGATAAGCTTGATGGCTCAGATATATAATAAATTGTATACATAAAAATATGTAATACAATATAATAAAAATATACATTAATATAATATAGCTGACCATAAGTTGCACTTATTGTTATTATTAGATTAAATGATTACCAACTAATATCCTTTTGGAATAAGATTATCAACATCTGTCAAATTACTTACAAAATGTGGCCACTCTTTGATAATATCAAACAATTTGTCACCCGGACTAAGAGTTGACATCAATTGTCTATGAGCAAACAGTTTGTAATCTTTTGTAATAACACCAATTTCAACACCATGTTTAATTAATTTCTTACAAGCATCTATTTGCTGCTTCGGTGGTGGTTCATTGTTAAAAGTTCCAATAAATGCTATCGCTATACTATACTTGTTATATCCCTTTGTATGAGCGCCTATGTAATTCCAACCACGTCCAAAATACACTGACCCGTCGCCGCCAACCAAGAAATTATATCCAATATCGAACCATTTCCTTGATTCTATATGAAATGATTGTATCAACCGAACAGCAAGCACACACTGGCTCTGAAATTGAAATGTACATATCTTAATTAAAATTAGAAGTGAATTTTACACTAGTAATTAAAACTATTGCAGTCAAAAAATTAGTATCCAGACTATAATCTACATCTATACCAATATGATAACAAACATCCATCCATCCATCCATCCATTCGCATTTATATTAAGAAGTAAGATAACTCTATATTTCTAGTTTACATGTTCAATATTTATAGTAATTTTATTTCCATGAAATTATCTTACTATCTTACTAATATTATAAATGCGAAAGTTTAGATGGATGGATGTTTGTTAGAGTTTGTAGCCTAAACGGCTGATCGGATTTCGATTAAATTTGGCATAGACGTAGAGGATAGTCTGGAAGAAGACATAGGCTACTCACTTTTGTTTTTTTTTTATTCCACACGAACCGAGTCTCTGGCAAAAGCTAGTGTTAAATATTTATAAATACAATTATTACTTTGTTTACCTGTATATAACAGCTTTCTGTCGCAGTATGTGTTATGATAACCCATGGTACCGGTTGTACTATTTTATCAAGTGGTCCTTCAACCGGCTGTGCCAGCCAGTCTGTACGTGATACTATCCTCAGGTGGTCCGGAGCTATCAACAAGGGGTCCACTACAAACAATATCACATGTTAACCCTTAAATGCATGGTTTTTTAACATTATAATGTGAAAGGGGTAGAAATTGAACATAGTTTTAATAGGAAAAAATAAAGAAAAAAAAGGTTTTTTTTTTTAAATAGATGGGTAATGAAAAAATACTGATGTAAATATACATTATTATTCTTGACAAACATTCTATCATTAGATATCCTATAGAACTTATAACAAGAATATTAATATATTTAAAAAATTCTCCTTAAACTATGTATATATTATCTTAAACATTTTATCATTCCAGTGAGAATATTCTACTTTCATAGGAAAACCAATTGTAGTTATTGGGTTTCCAGAAAATAGGGGGTAAAAAGCAGAATAAATAAATACCTCGGAAATAACAATTCATGCACATATCACATTTTGTCTTAATCAATGATTTGTTGGTTTTATTTTTGCATTTCTTCTCATCTGTGTTATCCGAAATGATTTTTAGTGATTTACCAATGTACAATACAAGTACAAAAGTGAGTGAGATGATTATTATGTGGAATATTGTATATAGTGTGTCATAGCCTAACCCCTCCACCTCGTTTGCTGAAATAGCGTTAATAATTCATTAGTATTTTTGTCACCTTCATATTGTAAAATTCAAATTTCACAAGCTATGTTATAAAGAACTGGTTTAACACGATTTCGTCTGTATAAATTAAAAATCATATTATTTTGATAATTGTTTGTAATAATTAAATTAATTACATCTGTGCCAAATTTCATTGAGATCCATTAAGCCATTTTTTGAGATACATAGTAACAATCATCCATCCAAAATTTTAACATTTATAAAATTATAGTATATAGTAATAATTAAGTATTATTAACTGATTGAACTTAAGAAATCCTTGACATGTTACAATATTTTTTCTTATAAAAACAAACATTAACGTGATATCAGAGTTAACATCCCAGTTCAGTGATTATCTATTAATAGTACTAGTAAGTTTGTAAACTTGCAAAATTAACAATCTGATGGTGACACATTACGTAACAGTATGAAAATAACATTCAACACATACAAAATTAGTACAAGCATTGGTTACGAAATTCTAACATTATTAGTACAAAATAAAGATATTCATAGAGTGCAATGAAGAGCCAGACAAAATAAAGTTTTTAATATAAATATATTTAAAAATTTTAGGGTTATGTTAACAACATGATTATTAAATGAAAAAAGTGGCCTGAAAATGCAAAAAAACAATATGAAATTCTGGCATAAAATTAATGAATAATTTGTTGTATTTAATTGTTTATCAAAGCTTAGTAATTCAAATATATTTTACATCAAATTAGTAATATTAACCAGTAGGATAAAACATGTATAAATTTATGGATGTCTTAACTTAGAATGCAAATTTTGCCCTTTAAATATTTAAAAAAAATGAGAATCATTAGTCTGTTATAGTCATTAGAATGTAAGAGTATGCTGTACGAAAGAAATTATATGTTTATGTTATATGAAAATCTTACCTGAGTATGCATCATTGAAGGAAGTGGATGTACCGCTACTTTGACCATCTTTTTTACTCATTGTAATTAAAACTATTGTAACAATACCACCGACTATGATAATGCAAATTACGAAGATTATTAATTTCTGCTTTGTTAGTATATCATGCTTCTTTATGGCTGCAAATTTCATAAACATATGAATACAATCATTATAACACAGGTGACTATAAGTCCCCACCAAGGGGCTCGGAGCCTACCATAAGTTAGGGTGACTAGGCCATAATCAACCATGCTGGTCTAGTGCGGGCTGGTTGACTTTACACATATCTTAGAATTTCTTCGCCGATATGTGCAGGCATCATGATGATTTCCTTCACCGTAAGAACGTCGGATAAATTATGTGCATATAAAATTCGGATTCGAACTCAAGACGTCAAGTCAAGAGCTCAAACCACTGAGCCACAGACGCTCTAAGAATACAATGCTCTATACTTATTCAGTTTACTAATTTACTTCAATATATCCTATTTACTAGTTTTAACTGAGCAGTTCGATTGATTCTTTTGGAATAACAAGAAAACAATAATGGAATAAAACTGAGAATCCTTTTCATAAAGATAATATAATTTCACACAACACAATAATTTATATATGGTAAAGTCATGTAAATCGCTAAAATATTTCATTTAAATGGATTAACAACAAAGTTTTCTGAATAATTGACCAAAAGTTTATAAGCATGGTAAAAGCAAGACTGTATTATTCAATAAACCAGTTTTTTCTGGTATTTTTGTACTTCCCCACTACCTCAAATGGGGAAACACATAAAAGGTACAAACTGAATGTATTTTTTGTTATCTACTTTGCTTTTTTTATCAGGGGAATTTGTTTACTCTAAAGCAAAGTCCTATGCTAACATATATCTAAGTATTCTAACCTCAATCAATTTCTTCATAAAATGCAAATTTAAGGTTTCAGTCAAAGGTGTGCTTTTTGTATGTTGATTTTAATAAATTTTACCACTCTAGCTCTCGCCCGCGACTCTGTTTGTGCGGAATTAAAAAAAAAAACAAAGGAAATGGCCTATGTGTTTTGCAGACCACATGTATGTACTTCTACAAATTTCATCACAATCCCTTCAGCCCTTTAGGTTTCAAACTCTAACAAAAATCCATCCATCCATCTAAACTTTCGCATTTATGATATTAGTAAGAAGTAAGATTACATGACAATAAAGTTTTCTAGAGGTAAGACTTAAATTGGTGACACTGAATATGTTAAAAAACTTTAATATTGAAGTCACTTGTATAAGCAATGCCAATTGTATCTTATAACTCAAAAAGCTTCTTACTATTTTTAACTTTATCAGACTTCCAAGTATTAAACGAAAACATATAAAAGAAGATTAGCCCGTACTTCTAGTAAATTCATCTTACTGTAAAGTGTGTTTACACTTTGTCATATTAGTATAGATATCTTATTCCAATAACAACAGGGATCAAAATATCTCTTTGTATATATTTTGACAATGGAAACTGGTAAAAACAATGTAAGGAGGATAAAGCTTGTTGATTTAATGAATGAAACATTGAACTACTTTGTTGACATTAATGCAAAATTCTAAGAATTCATGTGATCCAAAAACTAATATTACTCACCATCTTTCTCCTTATACTACTCCCGTAGGTTTGGCGCAACAGGTTTTTGTCCTCCACATAACTCTATCATACATCATCTCAGTCATCACTCCCTTTTTAATCATGTCACCTTTTATGCAATCCATCCATCTCTTTCTAGGTCTACCTCTACCTATTTACTCATAACTAACATTCTTCTTGTAACATGCAATTCATCCCTCCTCATAACGCTCATAGCATGCTAAAAACTGGTATTAACAAATTATGTATTAGATATAGGCTGGTGTGTGTATGAAAGAGTAGTAAAAACATACGCCACAAACCCTTCAAGAGAAAACGGCAGGGAAATGAAATATCTAGCCTTGGTTAGTTGTGCATATGCACTTGTTCTGCGAAAATACCAAATTATGCATTCTAACGCTAACTGCATTATAGCATGTATTGCTTCATTCATATATCTTGGTGGTTTAAGGACATTGTTGCCTTAAGCTTCCCTTCCCCTGCATCCCTTTATTCCCTGCACTTAAATGGTTTTCTGAACAGCAACTTGAGAGAAGTTAACATATACCAAGATGTCTAAACTAAACTATTTTAAGTTACTTTCAAAAAGTTTTTAAAAACAGCTAATAATACCATCACAAAAAAAATCTTATTCTCAGATTGATATATTATTTGTATGTGTAAATGTCATATTCTTTCTTTTATTTATGAGTACATTTGAATTGAATATTGAGTATCTACTTACTTGGAGCGCATTGAGGCTTGTTTTGGCATTCATCTTTTTCCACATTCTTATCTTCTGTATTTGTATAGGAAGCGTTTTCCACACCATTTTTATTTTGTATGATTGTAACGGGTCCGTTAAAGAAAGTGTTGTTACCAAAATGTACATTTTCGGAATTAGCAACTGACACAGTTCCGATTACAGGAGAAGTCGAGGGTAATAATCCCAAAGATTTAGGCGTAAAGTTAGTAGTACTTAATTTTGTCTGTTTGTCATAATCCGAATCGTCGTCGCTCACTTCCTCAATAATTTGGACATCTCCTATGTCACCTTCCACTTTTAAACCTGAATTACTTGAATTGTTGAGTACACTTTTCATTGCCATTTTAGGATAGACAATCACGTTATTAATATGAATTAAACATTGTAAAAAGGCATTTTAATTTTTAATTGTTATATTGCTGTACAAACAAAACAAACCAAACACTTGTCTCGCTAAACACGTAAAGTGGAACTGTCATAGAGTTATAGATAAAAGTGAAAGTGTTTATTGCCTATAGTTTGTCTAAATAAGTTATTACTCTCTGAGTGCGCCGCGGTATGTTTGCCTCAAGTTTTCGGACACTCTTATTCCTCTAATATTCCTCTAACACTTACGCTTGCGAATATAAGTATCGCCTTGTATCTCTGGAAACTCAGTCTAGCGCATATAAAATGCTATAAAAATAAATTTTCAAATCTTACTTACCTATTTCATATTCTTTATATTCTGCATCGCTCATTTGACCGTTGACATTAAGTTGACATTGACATTTGACATGACTGTTAAATTCAGGATTGGCGGCTTGGCGCCGATTGGCAAGTTGCGTGCAAGTTAAGACGAATAAAAGTTTCATAGTTCATAGCAGCGAACTCCGTTCAGCAGTACAGTAGTATTGACTGGTATTAACTCTAATGTTTTTATTTTATTAAATGGTGTTTGAAAAGTTGAGTGCAATTTGTTAAAGTTAACCTTAATTAAAAAAAAGTATTAAGAAATATAATGGATAATTTTTCAAGTAAGGATTCGTACAGCGTGGTAAGTAATTACGTGTATTTACGAAGTAATACTTTATGCCGTGGTAATTAAAAAAAATACATTTTATAAAAAAAAAAATCCTCGAAGTATTATATTATTTGATAATTTCACTATAACAGCAAATAACTTCTAAGTTATAACTTATGTTTTTAAGATGTTATGAATAAAAAAAATATTTTTAAATGGGTAGGCAACCTAGAGACGTTTTCTATCTGATTAAATATTCTTATTGTTGGCTGAAACTGTGTTGTTATCTAACTACTAGCTGACTCCTGCTACACAGAATTAAAAAAAATAGTAACTATAGAAACCCAGAGTAAGATGATATTGATGATGTAAAATATTTTAGGATATTGCAAGAAAACCATGGTACAAATATATAACGGTGGAGCCTTTGATGTTCTTCTACATGCTTGCTTTCATGATAACTAATGTAATAGAACAAACTTTCTATGTGTTCAAAGCTTGTACAGTGAACCATGGGTACAGTGAGGAGATATGTTACAATATAAGTGATTATAAAGATATCAAAACTGAAGTTCAGGTGAGAAAAATAATGTTAATTTTATTTAACTTTGAATAATACACTATAATCATCATCTTATTATCTTATCTTATCCTAGGGCAGGTAGGGTAGGGTCAGAGCAACAGGTTTTTGTTCTTCACAAAACTCTAAAATACATCATCTCAGTCATCAGTCCCTTTTAATCATGTCACCTTTGACACCATCCATCTCTTTCTAGGTCTACCTATACCGGTGTACATTACAACATTTAAATATAGCTATTACAAAGGTTTTAGGATGACTAGACATTTATAGTACTTTTTGAATGTCAGCTTAAAATGTATACCTATAAGTTAAGATTGTATGTAATTTAATTACAATATGTGTTATTAAAAGTGTTAATATAATTAATTTGTTACACTTTTGTACCTTAACTAAATACTGAATAATGAAATCTTGCACAAACATGTGTACACAGATTACTTATAGAATAAAAGCATGCGAAATTGCGGGCAATAACAAGTAAATGTATATGTATGGCCATGACTGATAAATATAATGTCTTACTTATCTTTATCTCAATATTTCCTTATCATAAGTCTTCTTATTTGTTCGACATATGTCTATATTTATCTTTTTATAGACACCATATTGACAATTTATTATATACTAGTTACTGTTCCCAAATTCATACGGGTTTATTGCGCACAAACATTAGTTTAAGTAAAATTGAACTCTTTTTCAACTGTGATTTAAAATATGACCAGAAATATAATAAAAGCATACTCTTTGACATTAATTAAATCCGTCTTTTGCTACATTATGTAATTATACAATGTGCTTGTAACAACTAAAGACACTAAGTTTTTAAATGGCAAATTAACAAAAAAAACAATGTTTTGTAGTTTTCTCTTCGTATCATAATGAGAGCATGCACACCTAGAACGGAACTGTCGCACAACTGTTTAGTCTCGCTTTGATTCCTAAGGTGACCCATTACTCGATTTTTAGTTGTGCAACTAAACATTTGAATTGGCTGCGAAACAATCGACAATCTCAGACAGTTTTGCGATAATTTAGTCCAAGGTGTGCGACCGCTCTAAATCGCTGTCGCACGGAAGTATTTACTGTATTTTATAAAGTTTTACTATATGTAAGTACATGTTGTAGTCCGACTTAGCCCGATAGGCGTTAAAAAATTAGTACATCCAAATTGTTGCATTGGTAATGTGTAATATTTAAATCAGGTCAAAATTATTGCTGATGTGTAAAAATTATTGCGTTTTAAGAAAACAGTAATGTCAAATTATCTTATTCACAATATGTCTGATTATGTTAAGTTGTACAACTAATAATGTTTTCTAACTTTTTTAAATCACGCATTAAATTAAAAAAATAATACCATTTTTAAACAACTTCGTATTTAGTATGGTATAATGTGTTGATAATGACATTTCTATGTTGAAAATGCATCTTTTGTTATGATTCCCTCGGATTTTTTCGTGATAAAAGGTTGTTTGTGTCTTGCAATGTTTCCAAATGAAAAATCTCGTTTGAATGATTCTTCTATTAAGACCACTAAGCTCCAATAGTCTAATTGTTAACAGTATTGACATCCCATCAACTGATCGTAGTTCGAATCCAGTGGTTCGTGAAAGTGAACCATCTAACCTAGTGCTTAGGGATGTTAACAGATTTAATATTTTATTTAAAAATTTCAATTCCCAGGTGACAGTATCAACATTTCACCAATGGAATGGCATCGCAAGTCATATAGTGCCTCTCTTGTTGGCGTTCTTCATTGGTTCCTACAGCGATAAACGAGGCCGCAAGTCGATTCTCCTTGCCGGATTATTGGGCAAACTTTTTTTCTCTATGATGATTACTCTGAATACAATTAAAGGTTAGTTTATGATTTTTGACATTAATTTTCTTAAGATTATATACGGCAATTGCCAATTGTATTTTAACAAAAACACATTCATATTCATACAAATTCTGATTTTATCTCCATCTCTTTGCAGCGTAAAGATTTCCAGCTTTAGTTTTTGTACAGAATATTAATTTGAAGGGATGAAGGGATGTTATTCACTTTGTAAATTCCACTAATATTATAAATGCAAAAGTTTAGATAGTTGGATGTTAGAGTTTGCTGCCTAAACGTCTGTACGGATCTCGATGAAATTTAGCAGATGTAGACCCTAGTTTGGAAGATCACATAAGTTACTTTTGTCTTTTGAGTCTCGGGTGAAAGCATAATTTGAATCGTTACCATCTCAGCGTAACAGGTTTTTAAAATAAACAATTGCGTAATACAGAAATCTACACAATGTTCGTATACGTAGTTTCTAAGAAGGATGTAACAAGAACCCAGACAGAAAACATCGCTCATGTCTTGTAGTTTTTATACTTTAGGCGTCATGTAAGTTTGTACTTCGTTATCGTTTTCTATCGAATCTAATGTAACTGTCGACGGCGCACTTCGTCCGCGTGGAATTAAAAATATAGCCTATGTTACTAATAACGTAGCTTTTTAATGATGTAAGAATTTGAAATCACGAGGGCAAAGTCGGCAATAGCAAGTATTAGATAGTTGGTTGGTTTATTAATTTAATTTCACTATTATTTTAGCATGGCCAGTGGAATATATAATTTTTACGGCTGCGTTTCCAAGTGCCTTGACAGGAGCGGATTTGTCGATATTTGCTGGGAGTTTTGCCTACATATCTGATGTATCTTCATTGAAGAATAGAACGTTAAGAGTTGGTATCTTAGATATTGTTTATCTAAGTACAATGCCAGTTGGAGTAGCTTTAGGTATGTTTCTTTTATCAAATGATTTTAAGTGGACTTCGGACTGTTTTTTAATTTATTTTTTCATTAAACGAAGTGTCTATGTTTAACAATTTTATGATTAAGAAGTGTAATATGAATGTAATAAAATGTACTTTTTCCTTTATAACATAAGGTGGCAAACGAGTAAGCGGCCACCTAAATCCGCCGAAATGGCGAAGCGACCGCTGCCCATATATATCTGCAATTGCATATGCATTGTCTACCCTTAAGTGACAAGACGAGACGCACATAAACAGGATATTTCTTCTTTCTATCCGTCTCCTCCGCTGTCAAATCCACTTTTCCTTCACATCCTTTCCTCTCAAGAAAAGGTTGGAAAGGGAAAGGGACCAAAATTTGGTCCCCGGCACCACACTCATCAGAATGTACGCGGAATTGCTCCCACTTCACGCCTGTCTTCTGTGTGGTCGTGGTATTACAAGATGTTAAGCGGGTTCTACCACTGTTACGTTATTGTTTGTAACGTTACATTTAACAAATTAAATATTAATTTCAGGTAATTTTTTATACACAAAAGTGGTGAACAAATCTTTTACAGCGATGTTCTTAATTAACACTTGCCTTATGGTAATCGCGACTATTTATTGCATGTTTGCATTAAAATGGCAAACACGTATAGAACAAAAATCCCTTAGAGAAGCCAATGTGAAAAATCCAATCACCGACTTCTTTGATTGGAACAATATAACTCAGACTATTGTCACTTTAACAAAGAAGAGATCATATAACAGAAGAATGATACTCTGGTTCCTACTAATTTCTATGGCTTTTTACACATTTCAAAGAGGTAAGAGAAACTCTTATTACTTTATTATGCATTATTTAAACTAGAATATAGGAGTTTAAATGCTTTAGACCAATTTTTTATTTTGAAAAAATCTTTTTTTTTTATTTTTGTGAAAAATAAACATATTTACTATACTACTTAGCTATGTGACATTTAAAAAAAATCTATTTAGGAATTTATAAAAAATCTACAGATCATCCCTTAAGATTTATTAGTCGTTTTTAACGGACTTCCAAAAGGTTCTCAATTAATCTGTTTTTTTTTTGTTCATAAGTTTATTTAGATTTGATATATTTTCAGATGAAAGGCCAGTAATGTATCTTTACGTGACAAATGTATTCGGTTGGAATGAAGTTGATTTCAGTAAATTTCGTACATTCCTTAGTTCAGCGTATGTCGCAGTTATGCTTATTGGTATACCAGTGTTCACTAAAATGTGGAATTGGAAGGATACAGTTAGTATTACTACAAACTAAATAGTTGTATATAAAATTACTAGATTCTGTCTTTACGGAAATTGTAAAGAAAGTAAGTAGCCTATGTGTTTCACAATATTTTCCAGAACAATGTCAATTTTCATCGAAATCTGTTACGTTTAGGAGATACATTCTAACAAACATCCATACATATAAAATTTATCCATTTATAATTTTAGTAAGATGTACATGAAAACCAAAGTATTACCAAAAAGACAGAACAATTTAGTTCTATTCTTAATAACCCTTTATTAACATTAAATTGTACGTTTTTGAATGCTATTTTTAATAAATTAAGCGTTATCATGAGATTCAAACTTTATGATAGCTCGTAAATATTTGCTAAAAGGAAGCTCTACCGTACCCTTTACTTTCCAGTGCCTAACACATAGAGATTTCGAGCTGCCATAAAATTTGGTTCGTATTGTCTTACTCTTACTAATATTAAAAATGCGAAAGTTTAGATGGATGGATCTTTGTTATAGTTTGTAGCCTAAACGGCTAAACGGAACTCGATGAAATTTGGTATAATCGTAGAGGATAGTCTGGAAGAACACATAGGCTATTGATTTTTTTTAATTTTGTCAGTCGCGGACGAAAGCTACCTAATAATGTGTTTAATTCTCGTACAATATTCCGAGCAGCTATAAAGTTTGTATATCATTATACATTATCTTTTAGGCGATAATAATGTTGGGCGCGGCGGCTCATATTTGTGGACACACGATATATGCACACGCTACAGTTGGCAAAAGTCTATATATTGGTGCGACTATAGCGGCATTTGGTCCTTGTGTTGCACCATTGATTAGAGCTATGACGTCAAAAGTTCTACCGCCTGCGGAAAGAGGTAAAACAACTTATTTCGCCAAAATAGCGAATTATAGATAAACATATCAGAGGGGATTCCAAAAATTGGATATTACCTTATACGAGTCCAACCCCCGTAAATCAATTTTTTACTTTCTATTATTGTATAATAAAAAATAACATATCTTAAGATATATAATTCTGACAGTCAAGTCAAAGTTGTCATTTTTAATATAAGAAAATACTAAGTGTGCGTCTTAGTGCTTAACTATAAGTAGAAATAAGTTAATTCGGTGTTTAATTTCAGGTGTGGCGTTTGCATTTCTTTCTGTTATGGAAAATGCAGTTGCAATGTTCGCTTCAATCATTTACTCGCAATTATATAAGGCGACATTAAAAACTGATTACATAAACTCTATATTCTATCTTACCATAGCTACACAAGCAGCAGTATTTATATTAGCAAGGTAACTTTGATGTTTTCATAATATGACTAGTTAGATTATAAATTTACAGCATGTTTGTGGGTATGGGTATCACATTTTAACGATTTTATAAATGACTAGCTGTTGCTCGCGACTTTTTCCGTGTGAAATTAAAAAAAATATTAAAAAAATGTAGCCTATGTTACCCAGTTATGGTGAAAGTTTTAAAATCGGCCTAGCAGTTTTTGAGTTATTTCAATACATACAAATATCCAAATCATTCCTCTTAATTTAGTATGGATTTTAAATTTTTATCATCATACTGGATGTTTGTTAGAGTTTGTAGCCTAAACAGCTGAACGGATTTCAATGAAATTTGGTCTAGATGTAGAGGATAGTCTGGAAGAACACATAGCCTACTCACTTATGTATTTGTTAATTCCACGCGGATGGAGTCGCGGGCGAAAACTAGTTAATTTATAAAGTAAATTGAGTCTTTACAATTAATTACTATTTATGTTATTATAGTTCCTTTTGAATAATGTTTTAATATATTTTAATTCCAGTGCAACAGAAATAGTTTTGCATGGAAGACGTATAGAAACTCTTATTGAACAAGACGAAGCACAGATTCCTACCACATCAGCTGTGAATAACGACCAAGAAGTATATTAAAATAAATTAATAAAGAAATAAGGGCCTGTCCCACCAAATTGTAAATTGTCTAAACAAACGTGTAAAATATATCTTGGAAATATCGGATGGTTCCCTTATAACAATGACGTCAGCTTTAAGCTATCTGATGCTCTATCAGCCAGTAGTGGGACAGGTCCTAAATGAAATTACTTATAAGGCTGTGTCCAATATTAAGATATGAAATTATTAATACTGTATGTTTTTATGTAAGATTCCTATTTAAATATACAATGAAATACATACGTATATGTTGAAAACATATACTTTAGGACCAAGTATCCAATGCTAAGGAAAAAAAATAAGATTTTTTATTATTGGTTTTGTTTTAGTATGATCATATTCCAGAGGTAAGTATTAGGGTAATTTTTAATATTTAAGATTCATATAAAAATCCTAAGAGACATTATTAATTTTATGAGAATCAAACCAAAAAATAAATCAATAAGCATTGCATTGCTCAATTTTATTTTCTTAATAAAAAAAGTTTATAAAAATATATAAGCTAATAGAACAATTATTAACTGTTTTATTAATTTAATAAACTAATAATTATAAAAATGTAACACCAAATCAGTTAGTTTTAGAAAGAAAGAAAGAATGTTTTCTTCTTTTAATTAAGTGTGCAACTTTTAAACGTGATTACCTTTAAACTACATATTGAAATTACATAATAAAATAAATATATAAATATATTTCAGAAAGTTTCCAAAAATATGCATTATTTTTTAACATAATTGTTGTGTAATTTATAGCATTTATGTCTCTTATTATATAGACATAATGAAACGGTACTTAGCTACATGGTTGTTTAATTACTATATTACCTTTTGGTTGTATTCATGAATAGATTAGCGCGAGATACGATGCACGACCGCGCAGACGAAGTGCAAGAGAGTGAATCAGTATATTTCAGTATGTTATAAAGTACTCTGTGGAGTGAATGAATGTAAAATAGGGATGTCCGTGCGACGCTGTTGCTAGTGATGTTCGTAGTCGATCATAAAGGGATCCATATGAAGGTGACAGGCGCCAACGTATAATTTTATTTATATTATCAAACGGTTCTCGCGGAAGATCAGCGCTGGTACTTCAATAGGAGCATGCAGCATTTATAGCTGAGCGAGAACCCAATCCAGTCAGCATTGCAAAGCTAGTTTTAAATATTTCTTTTTTTTTTCATTTCATTAGTTACGTTTCTCATTATTTTGTGTTAAATTACTTTTTTTTCATAATTGTAGTGTTGACAAGGATTAAAAATTATTTTATTTATTTAAATATTTTTGTTTTCTGTTATATTGTTTTCATTGTTTTTATCATTTTAAACAGTTGACTGCCTTGAGTTGTTTTAGAGAACATTTAAAATACTCTGCATGTGATTGAAAATAACTATATTTTGTTAAATCTATATATAACCATTAATCATAAACCTCGCCTTTACGGAAAAAATAGTCTATAAATTATCCTGCCGTTAAAAACTTCCTATAAGAAAAATATTATTTAATAAAGCATTTGTAAATGTCTAGGATAATAATTTCTCCACTATTAAAAATATATTTGTTCTATCTCTGTTGTTTTATTTATTACTTTTCTGCATTTAAATCATATAGCACTTTTTTAAATTAAATTAACCTCCGTTACAACTCCGCATAAGAAATAACGGAAGCAGATGAGGAGTTATCATTTCTTGCGGATGCGGAAGCGGAATTGCGTTACAACCCTAATTAATACAATTCATCTACCGATAAAAAGGTTCAACTGCTTTAAGCAGTACTTAGTACAAATCTACAAAATTTTTAAATAAGTTTGAATGTTAAATATAACGGGAGTAAATGAAAAATACATTTTTTTGGCACAAATATAATTCAATAGTCTTAAAATAAGTAAAATAGGAATTGAATATTTAAATCGTGTCTTTTTTTCATATAAACGATATTTAAAATTACATAAACATTTTTTATGTCTAAAAAAATAGATTTCTTACTATACTATCTTATACTAAAATAGGTATCCATTACCTTTGGATGTTTTGCATAATTTCAAATGTTTTACGTCTAAAGAGATTCATAATATACGAGTACTTTTCTGTATTAAAAAAAAAAAACAAAAAAAAAACAGAAAATATCCATACATTTTTGGCCTATAAAAAATCAATTTTTTTGTAATAACTTAAAGTCAAATTAAAAAAAAAGTTATACAAGAACAAGATATAAGTATTTATTGTAATTTGTTGGAGTTTTTATATGTTATGTTACTGGCTGGCAACACTACACAGGTAGGATGATTTTAATATTGGAACAATGTATTTAAATTTTATAAAGAATTGTGTAATGAATGTTTGATGGAAGACTTCTCATCAAGACACATACCAGCCAACATATGTAAAACATGAGACTGTTTTAAATATAAAAGGTGACTGATTTATCCTGACAATATACTAATTTAATATGAGAATAGAGTGTTTCAATATACCTTCGCCTATAAAGTCCGGGACAGTGAAAAGTAACCGTCAAACACTACTTTAGCAGTAAAAAGCATAATTAAAATACACTTATTAGTAAACTTACGTATGATATAAAAAGTTTAAGGTTGTGAAAGCCATGAATCAAGGTATTGTTGGATTTCAACTCTTGCCTCCGTCAGCTGAGGAAGATCATTCTCACTTGCTGGATACATATTAGCACAATGTGCGGTACCTGTAAAAAAATCATACTAACATTATAAGTGTGAAAATTTACATGGATGGTTGTTAGAGTTTGTAGCCTAAATAAAAAGCCTAAGATAATAGTCTGGAAGAACACATTGGCTACTCTTGGTTATTTCAATACATACAAAATACAAATCTTTCTGTTTATAACATTAGTAGCTGTTTTCGTACGACTTCTATTAAAATTATCAAAACTTTATTTTATTGTTTACTAGCTTTTTGCTACTTCGTCCGCACAGAATTAAAAAAAAAAGTGAATATCTTATATATTTTTTCACACTATCCTCTACATCTATGCCAAATTTAATCGAAACCTGTTCTAACAAACATCCATCCATCCATAGATAGATAGTTTTTTTTTTTATTCTAAATATACTCACCTTTAATATAAATAGCTGGTGCATTATTATCTTTTGTGGTTGTGATACCAAGAGCATGCCACGGATCAACCGAGCCGTGGACAAAAACAACTCTCTCTACAGCAATATCTGTACCACCATAGAAACTGTTACTCCATTCCGCTGCATTCTCTATAAATTCCTTGTCAAACCTGAAAAAAATATAATAAAAAAAAAACACTGTACTGTAACATTTTTAATAATATTGTGTTAATGGATGAATTTTGACAATTCAAGTTAACATAAAAAAATGAATGTAGCCATGTTTTTTTTTTAAAAAAAAAACGAGATAATTGACCACTCGTTATAAAATAATATACTACACTATACTACAATATTATAAATGCGAAAGTTTATATGGATGGATGTTTGTTAGAGTTTGTAGTCTAAACGGCTAAACGGATTTCGATAAAAATTAGGTATAAATGTAAAGTATAGTATGGAAGAACACATAGGCTACTCACTTTTTTAATACCACGCGGACGGATTTGCGGGCGAAAGCTATTTCATAAATATTCTGTTTCATAAATAAGAAATAAATCATATCAATCTGTTTTACATATACGAGAAAATGTATATTAACCAGCTGTTGTCTGCCACTCCATCCGCAAAAACATAAGTAGCCAACATAATGCCAAATTTCATCGAAATCCATTCAGCTGTTTAGGATACAAACTCTAACAAACATCCAACTAAACTTTTCATTAGCATGATTATAAGCTATTGAATAGTCTATACTTACTTTTTACCAAAAACATCTTGACACTGTTGCACAAAGAAGTCCAATTTAAAATGGTCACCGAATACACTAACTTCTCCCGAAGATGTTTGGTAAAAACCAAACTCGGTACAAGTCTGGTACATCCATTGACGGCCTGAAATCAAATTATTTATTTGTTTATTGAGATATACCAGTAGACATACCATAAGTAACGTGAAGATAATTTGTCCTAATTATAGGTTTACACAACAACAACAGTAACAATAGTAGAATATTAGTCAGGGAGTTTTTATATATTTTTTATTGAACCCGAGATGTAACATTTAAATTAAATTTAAGATTACCTCTCGTAGATTTTATTTAACATGTTTTTAAAAAGTTATCCCATAAAATACATTTAAGCAGAGACTTAAAGATTCTATATTATACAAGAAATCCATATCGATAATTATGTTATTTAAAAATCAATGTACAATCGTGGAAATCTGCGGTGTTCCATTTAGGAATAACTAACTTGTTCATTATTAGACAAACTGCGTCTCTCCCTACAAATAACTAATTAGACATCAGTGAGTGCAAACGAAGGGATAAAAAAAGAAACTAGTCATGTATCACTAACCAATTTTTTTTTAGTACATATATTTATAGCGTTGTATTGATTTTTGTCTTGTTTCAAAATGTTCACACGATTCAAGGTTACAGTAACAGTACAGTTTTCCTAACTGTACATGTGTTTTAATGCTTGCGGTTAGTGTTGTATAAATGCGTTTTATTTTTTTATTTTAAAAATGTGTAGTTAAAAATGAAAAAACATACGATTTTGAGTCTTTAACTACAAAAATCAAACAAAAATGGGAACCACCTGCAAGCACTACCTTTCGGATAAAAAAGAATGATCAAAATCGGTCCACAAGCGGGGGGGGGGGGGTTATGTAACACACATAAAACAAAACATACAGACGAATTGAGTACCTCCTTCTTTTGGAAAGTCGGTCAAAAATAACTCACCTCCTTCGGAACTCAAGCTGGTGTTTCTTAGATCGTTGATCATATTATTATAACTGTAGTCCATACATGTTTGCTTTGATTTATTCAACATAATAGAATTAAATGCTGCTAATCGTTTGTATGGAGCTTCATCGCCTGGTTCCGTTAGCAATTTACACACCTAAGTTATTATAAAGTTAGGAAAAACTCTAACAGCCTTACAAATAAATGCGGTGTAAAGTTAAACTTAGGAATAAACTGAGTATAAGCTAAATTGGTATTAATATTTGCTTATACTCAGTTTATTCCTAAGATTAACTTTACATCGCATTTATTTGTAAGGCTGTAATTAAAAGTTATTCAGCAATTAGTTTGCACTGCCAAATCATATTTGAAAACATATTGTATATGTATATGAAGTTTTCACCAATGGTTGGTTTCAGATTTTTTTTGCTCGGCTAACTTTGTAACTGCTGTGGTATAAATTCTATTATATAATGATATATTTTAATTCTAGCATTAAAGACTTTATATAAAACCATTTACTTATTTACTTACAAACTCATATGTAATCTGATTCACATCATACTAATATTATAAATGCGAAAGTTTAGATGGATGGATGTTTGTTAGAGTTTGTAGTGTAAATGGTTGAACGGATTTCGATGAAATTTGATACAGATGTAGAGGATAGTCTGGAAGAACGCATAGATTACTTCTTTTGTTTTTTTTTTAATTCCACGAGGACGGAGACGCGGGCGATTACTAGTAATAATATAAATGAAATACATTATTATATCTAAATATGTACAAATGTCATTTTATACTCACAGAATTGATGGTAATATTCCTAAATGTTGTATCAGCACTAATACGATTGTCCTCATTATACTGAACTAGGTCAGCGAAATCATCAGCTATTGAGTTGAAAAAATTCTTCATATCATTCTCTGTTGCTTTTGAAAATGGCATACAAGTTCTGAAATATGCAAATGAGAATGTATGTCAAAGAAAACACTAGGCTTATTACTGAAACGAATCTTGAACACTATGCGTCGTAATAGATCCTCTTTGTGTGCTGACAGAGGTCAGTTTTAATGGAATTTGGTGTTTAAGAATGGCATTATAATATGCTATTACATATTTAAATATCGTTTTAATATTCGGCCGTAATTTAATGGTGACTCTAGTAGTCCACTTGCAATATTACTAATTGCGTTTATTTAAATTAGATTTGACCCAGAATTCTAATTTTAAATATTTATACATGAACAAACTTGTTAAGTATTGAACATTCCATATTACAAACAATGAACACTATAGGTATTTTTTGTAGAACAAGGCTATTGTTACAATAAAATAAAAATACTTAACATACATTCTTTTGCTAACCGTAACAAATTATGAATAGAATCACCATATGAGACTGCTTTTATAAAAACATTTACTGATTATAGAAATTATGAGCGACTTCACATAGTTTTGGTAAAGCATTTATTACATAACATATAGGAATAAAGCATTGCTTTTGCTAAACCAAAATCCCGCGTTTCGTCTGATGAGTGTGGTGCCGGAGGCCTAATTTTAGTCCTTTTCCCTTTCCACCCTTTTTGTCAAAAGAAAGTATGGGAAGGAAAAGTGGATTTGACGGTGGAGACGCATAGGAAGGGGAAATATCATCTTTATGTGCGTCTCCTCCTCCGTCAATGAAGAGTAGGCAACGCATCTGCAATTGCGGATGTTTATGTGCAGCGGTCACTTTCCATTTCGGATTCAGGTGGCCGCTTGCTTGATTGCTACCTAATATTATAAAAAAAACCAAGCTCTATCGAACCATCCTTTTGTTGAAGGAATTTAGGTTGCTTTCAGAGTATGTATGAAGTATTTAGGGAGACAAGAGAATTCTTTTGTTCATACCTACTTATATTATGAATGCTCAATTTATCTTAAAAAAAATTCTAAATTACAAAGTTAATGTTAATAAGGTTCAAATCACACTATCATCGTACAATACCCTTTGATCTCATATGACTTGCAAATAAGAAAACAAAGAGTGACTATAATACAAGTTGTCAATTTGAGATAACAGCTTTATAAATATATTCTTTAGATATCATATAGTTAGTCAAGTTAGAAAAATTAATGTAAAGGGGCAACAGTAGGGGGAGGGTGAGGTAAAATTGGGAACAAGAATTGCATGAAAGGTGGATGATTTGATTTGCTGACCTTACAAGTGGAATCACAACAAGGATATTATAAAATGAGCTAAACTCACTTGAATTCCTTTTCGATCTCCTCTGGCTGCGTTTTAATTAACCCTTCTATCTGTACGTGGGCATTACGCAGTTGGTTAACACAATCATCACTGCCAGTCTTTTCACGGAGAGCATTTACTACAACCTCAAAGTATTCTGAAAGAGAAAACAATATTAGATTGAAAAATACTATCTGTTGCTCGCGACTTCATCGTTGTGAAATTAAAAAAAAATATAGTCTATGTTACTCACAAATAAATCCCCTTTCTAACATTGAAGAATTTTTTTAAATTGGCTCAGTAGTTTTTGAGTTATTTCAATACAAAATAAATACAAATCTTTCCTCTTTATAACATTAGTATAGAAGTATATATAATCGGAGTAGTTGTTGCTTTAGGGCCTGTCTTACCACTGGCTGATAGAAGCTCAGATTGCTTAAACATGATTTTATTGTCAGATAAGGAAACAAAATCTGATATTTCCATCACATATTTTACATGTTTGATTGTTATCAGACCATTTACAATTTGGTTTTAAATATGTTCCAAAATAGCAGTATTAATGTAGTATAACTTACCCATAAAATTAACTTTTGCAAGTAATGGTCCACTTGATGATATGGAGGCATGCACCAAATGAGGATATTTCATTCTCAGCCAAGCCGCTAATGACCCCGGGTAAGAGCCACCAAACGCCACCCATTTCACTTCACGATTTAATTTGAGCTTGTCATTCATAGCTGTAATGAAGTTTGCCAAATCCGCCAAAGCCTGCGATGATGATAAGTACTGCAAGTTTTTTGTGCTGAAGTCTCTGAAAGATTTTAATTACGATAAGCTGCTTTTACTTGAGGATTCAATAAATAATGTAAATACTATACATATGGCCTATTCATACTTCCAGGCTATCCTCCACATCTATGTCAAATTTCATCGAGATCTGTTCAGCCATTTAAGCTAAAAACTCTAATAAACATCCATCCATCTAAACTTTTGCATTTATAATATTAGTAAGATTAATTACATACATGATTATTAATTGAGAACAATAACTGCTGATTCTAACTTTTTACATGCAATATTAAAAAATGATACTGGCATCTGTATGTTCAAGGAGTTTGTAACTTTAAAACTATTTTGTTCTAAAGAAAAATAACTGTCAGTGGTTGTCATTAAAAGCATAGTGGTTACTATCAAAATTATAATTTTTGATATAAATAAGTAAAATAAGTCCAATAAGAGTGCAGCTTCTTGAAAGTGTATTTTGAAACAATAATAAGAGATAATTTATTGTAAGTTGTAACTTGAAATAGCTACAAATTTGGGACAATGGTGGTAAGTATGCTAGCGATGTACATCACTAGTTGTTGCTCATGATTTTGTGCATATAAAATTGAGAAATGATAAAAAATGTGATCCATGTTACTCCCTTATAATGTAGCCTTTACATGGTAAATATTTGTTAGAACAGATCCAGTAGTTTTCAATACATACAAAACTCCAAAACTATGAATTATTCCATTTATAATATTAGTATAGATTAACAAATTAATAAGACCTTCTCCTCAACACAGTGCCTTTCAATTAGCTATATTGCTAGTAGAATCAATGTTTCTATAAGTATTGGAATAAATACATGACAAGCAAGTGACTTATCAAAAGTTGTTAGTTCTATAAAATGAGTTTACAGCGATATCAATGATGTTACATTGTCTTCGGAGACTTATGTCAGTTCTGTTTGTGGACTTACTCTGTAGGGTGACTTTCTCCATAATATCGGTGTTCCAAATTAATACAAAGAGCGTTGAATTTCTTTGCATAATCTATCCATGCTCCCTTTACCATCCATCTCGGATCGGCTGGCCCTTCACCACCAATCATTAGAAATATTGGACCTGGATTTTTAAAGTCGTAAAAACTGTCGTTTACATAATATCGCTGTAAAAGTAAAAAAATAAAATTAAAACAAGAGTTTTATCCACCATTATAATATTAGAGATGTTTAAAAGGCTTGGTTTTTTACCTGCTTCCAACTACGTAAGTCAGTAGGACTAAAATGGTCCAACTTTTGTTTGAACCACTGCGCAGGTGGTACTTTTTCTCCTAAATAGTCACCTGGAACTCCGAGATTACCGTTTTTACTTCGACCGAGACGGAAATCTTTATTACCATGGCATAATATTAAATGAATTATAAATACAAATGAGGTTTTTAACCACATAATGAAAAGTTGCAGATATTTTTTTTTAGATGTAATAAAAGTATTAAGTTATTATTTTTATTATAACTGTTATAATCACAATATAAATTAAGCTGAGATTCAGTAAAGAACAACAGATTGTTAGCGGTTAGCGGTTTACTAGTAGAAAGATGAGAAGGAAAAATGTTGACTGAAGAATGTTTACATTTGGGCGAATACGTTTGTCACTCAATGTGACCAGATTTAATTGTAAAATTCTACTAACCAGAAACTAATGTCAATGATATTTTCATTCAAAAACTCAAAAAGCATTTATATAAAATTTGAATTAAACAAAAGTAAAGTTTTAACAATTACTTCTTCTTTTATTATATTTATTTTGTTTTATTATATTTATCTTAGGAATGTAGAGTTTTGAGGTTTCCGATGATCGAAATTATAAAAATTTTTGATAAACAAAAAATAAACAAGCTATATATATCATACAATATAGTCCAAACTTCTAAAGTATACATAAATAGGAATGTTATAATAATCTATTTCTTAAATTTTTGCCTACGTTAAAAAGAACCTTCAATCAGGTCTGGTTTTTCTAAAATGGTACAATTCTACTCCATCTGGTCACACTAAATGTAAGGAAGCTGTTGTACTCTTTGGTTACTGTACCAAATTAAAAATAGACAAAAACTGTTAGAACTATGAGAGCAAACTATGCAATTTCTTGAAAACTATTTGTTTTTTCCTTTTTTGTTCTCATTTCACTAATTTTACCAATGTAAAAACTTAACTGCAATTAATAAATCAGAGGTTTTTTAGTTTGTTTATTGTTGCCATATGTAAAATATCTGTCACGAATCGCGAATAGCGATCGATTACAAGTAGGCAGGTGTTGCATGTCATGATTTAGTTGTGTGCAGTTGTGTGTCTTGGCAAGAGCTCGGTGATTCAAAAAAATGGCACTCTCCAGGATAACGTTTACCAAATTAGCAGAAGTTCAGGTAAATATCCAAGCTTATCTTAGATATCCAAATGAAAATTAGGTTTAACGTCTTTTAAAAAAATTTACGTAACCTTAGTAGCATGTTTGAATTTTGAGTTATGTAATAATAACTATTTTTGGATTTTATACACTCATTTTTGAGTTTTAAATGATAATTATAGTTTTAATGCAATGCTACTGCGATTACCATATTTTATATTTATAGAAGGAAAGATTTATTTCGCCTTAAAACAACCTGAATCGCACCGTTTGAATTCACGCATGCCCACATTATTTGCGTTTGATGTAAAGTAAATTGTATAATTTGTGAATTTTTGTAACATTTTTGTTTTCTACGTTTTACCGCTTTGATTTTAAATATATTTTTAACGGAAGTATAATTCATATATCTCAGGTATTCTCACGTTAATGTGTAAAACTTTGGCATAAAAAATCGTACGTACCTTACTTGTCCTTCACACGTGGTTCACTTAGGTTTTACAAAGTAAGTAATTACATAACTATGTAGGCAATTCGTTTTTGTACTTGGATATTTCTAGTGTTTAATAGTTATATTAAAATAATTATTTCATTTATTGTTATCTGGTAAATTTGTTTTAAAGCAGAATTATAAAAAAAAAACTTGAAAAAAGTTTTTCATCTGCCCTTTATATAGATTATAAAATTAATTGCTAAATAAGTAATTTTAGGGCCTAAACCAGTAGTGTTTAAAAAAGGGTAATAGAAAGATTTTTCTTAGGTTAAAATAACAAATATCAGTAACTTCTAACATAATTAAATAAATTTTAGACATAAAACTTTTTGTGTTAGACAGGATAGGTACTGAAATATGGATGTAAGTCTTGTGGTCACCCTTTTTATCAAACGGATGTATAATGTTACTTTTAACTGACTATAAACAATTACAGTACATCCCTTGACAAGTGTAGTTACTCTTACATAGTTTGAATGACATCCATTCTTAGAATTCATACTTGCAGAAGCAATAAAGTATTGTCCAGAATTACTATAATCTGTTTAATTAAGGTTACTACAAAAATACCTTATTAATGTATACCCTACATTTACAATATTCCAAAGATAAATTCATGAAATACCATTGCTTTTCTTATATACTTTTGTATGCTCTGTGCATTGTAACTATTCATAGATTATTAAGAATATTAATTAATCTTTTTATTGTTATTTCTGTAATTCATTAGCTTTCATAATAAACATAATTAAGAGTAATATAAATGTAACGTAAAAATTGTGGTTTTTAATTAATAGCATGATCTTTATTTTAATCCACAGAATAATAAATAAAAAAAAACTTAATAATTCGGCGTTGTATTTTCGAATGGCGTGGCATTAGGCTTTAAACGATCATGTCATTGTCATGTCGGCCATCGTATGGTCCATTACGCGTGATTCTCGAACAAGCGTGAATTTTTGACCGACTTCCCAAAAGGAGGTACTCAATTCGTCTGTATGTTTTTTTATCACTTGCACACTTTAAACATTTGTAAAGTGAAACGAAAAAAAATAATAATTGTAAAAGTTTGATTTCAATATCAAAGTTGACTTTTTATCTTGTTTCATAAAGTTTTTAACTATGCTTTGACGTTAGAGTTGTACTGGAGTGATTAGTATGAAATTCCGAAAATGAAGGCTATAAAGTTGTTAAGTTAAGTGGTCATTAGTTAATGTGGTTTACTGGGTTTATGTACTTAATTGAACTGACGAATATTGTTACAATACTTAAAAGAAAATGTAAAATTGGTGTAAATATTTTAGAGCGTTTTTTGAGATGCAATTTTGTAGTAGTTATTGTTCAAATCTTACTAATATTATAAATGCGAAAGTTTAGATGGAAGGATGGATGTTGTTTAGTTTGTAGCCTTAACGGCTGAACCACTCTCGATGAAATTTGGCAAAGGAGCAAGGGATAGTCTGGAAGAAGAAATAGGCTATTCACTTTGTTTTTTTTTTAATTCCACCCGGGCCGAGTCGCGAGTAACAACTAGTTATTGTTGTCAAGGTTTAATTAAATATGGTTTGGACTTATCTGTGTGACTCGAATGATTCACTTCCAAATTAATATTAATAAAATATTCTTATCAGTATGACTCTGGATAATATATATTATACTATATATGAATGATGTTAGAACATACAAATTATCTTTACTAAAGTATTTTGTTATATAAATCTATTTGCACTTAATTTACAAGGAAAATGTCTTTACCACTATTACGCTCGACAAGTAGATAACGTTCATATTAGCGCAAGTAAATAACATTTATTCAAATAATAATGAATTCGTTTCACGTGGCAAGTGATAAAATCATTCGATCCAACACCTTCTGATAACGTGTCTTGGTCATCAAATATACTCGAAAAACGGCAAAGCAAAATTCGTTGTAAAAATGTTTACAAAAGACTTCGTTCATAGTAAAAAAAAATTACAAAATATAGCTATCTTCTTCCAATTCTTCGCGTTATGTATCTCTTGTCCTTTTTGTAACGAAATGTGGGTATCACGTGCTCTTGATATAGGCCGTTCCCGTTTATCTTATACAATAATGAGGCTGTTAATATATAGGTTATGTAATTGTTTAACGTGTGATGACTTTCTCTGCATTGCAGTCTAAAGATAACACGGATCAGGTTGGCTGCGACCGGGCTCGCTCCCAAATAGCCTACATATATCGTATACGTTTATATCAACGTCTTGTAAGCGTTTATGTAATTGAAATTTTAAATTAAAAAACATAGTTATAGCAGGCGATAATAAGTGGTAATTGCATACTTCTATGATTTACTATTAAGAGACCTATAAATACAAAAGAAATACTAAGAAGAGTTAAGCATAATACGAAGCCGCGCTAAGTACCATCTCTGGTATTTATTGTTAACGGAACGCACGAAAATAAAAACGGCCCTGATGGTCGTTAACGGTTAAATTTTATGAAAGGTAATTCACGTGTTTCGTTATTTCTAATGTAGCTAGTTAATATTACATTCTTATTTCTAAACAATTCATGCCTGATGCTTAAATTATTCGGCTTGTAACGATAAGTATTACCAGTCCTATCGAATAATTATTACGTATTTTTCTCTCTTAATCTATACAATACACATATTAATGACTTACATAGAGTATGTATAATGAAAAGTGCACGATTACTGTATACTATATCCATTATTGTATAACAAGAGAACGTCATGGCCAATAATAAGTTTTGAAATACGTATGTAATAGCTCGAACGATTCTAAAAAACAATAGGATGCCCTCTTCGATTCAATGTTTCGCTCAGATATCGTAAATGTTATACCAAAGGGACATGTGACCTTAATGACTTCGTTTTAAAATTTCCAAGTAGTTATACGTTTGACTTATGAATATAGATTATTTTCAATATCAATGTATGTTGTACTGTCAATGATGGTATACTGATTGTAAGTAGCCAATGTTAACGTGTTGTTGATAAGAATCCAGCCAATTAACAAACCTGCTCCGTCCGTATCAATTATATAATGCAGTTTTATACGGGTTTATGATAAAATTGTATTTTTTTTTTCAACTAAGCGTGGATATTTGAAAATAATTTTGCATTGAATATAGATTTAAAGCGGTAAGTGGACTGCTTTAAGCAATTGATACAGTGCCAGACAAAATTTATAGTGGCAGTTTTACGAGGCGAGGCAGAATTTAGTTTTTGTGATTGGCGGGATATGGATGCCACACACCACTGCGAGTTTCCTACCAAATGCAGTAGGTCCACTGCTAGGCATGCTCGGAGCTAAAAGTAAACCGCAAGAAAATGTGAATCTTCTGACGTCTTAGGTATTCTGTGATATTTCTAGACACTAAATAGATTCACGTGATTTTATATCGTGACATTGAAGGTAACACATTGTCTCACATATCTTATCACAAGGTATTCGATATGACAACACTATAAGATATATTTAAAATATTGAAGTGTTGGTAAGCTAAATCCATCTCCGTGATTGATTAAAGTCTTCGATATTCTTGGCTGACGTCATATATTTGTATAGCTTCGTATTATTGATGTGATGGAGAAAGCAATCTTTTTAGGTTTCATATTAGTTGAGATGTTTCCGATCGGTTTTGATCAAGTATCTATATTTACATCCATTGATAGTGTATTTGGACAACAAAATTAACTCGTTAATTTAAAACGAGTCTGCTATTGGAAACATGTTCGAG